GGGGGGGGCTCGGGGTGGTCCCTGCTTTGGCTCCTGTATGCTGCTACCACTGCGGACTGCAGAGCGGACTTCAGCGCTTCTCTGTCAGTCTCTGCACACTTCATCTCCACCAGTCTATCTGCGTCCATCTCCAGGTTTATGAGCTGTAACTCTTCTTCAGTGTCCTTTTCTGCATGATTCCCCTGGTTTTCAACTATAAAAAACAATAAACACATGTTACACACACAAACTCCAAAATATGGAATTTAACATATTTATTCCCACTGAGACAACCAGGTGCTGCCACCAGGCCAAGTTGAAGGTCAAATATGTAAAGAGTTAACCCCACTCACAAGATATATATATATATTTTTTTCTAAGCTATAAAAAACACCTATAATTCTGTCAAACTGTATAATTATGCAAAGCAAGAGACTGGCCAGTGGTGAAACCCCTTCCAGAAAAGCTGCATAATGCACCTTAAAAAAAACAAAAATCAATAAATACAGTATATTACAAACAATTACTAATTACTGAAAACTTGAACTGAAATCAGAAATTAGAGCATTTCCACAAAGGTGAAACTGTTTGCTAAGTAAAAGACAAATATGAAAGAATAAATTCATATATGCAAAATTTCCACAAAAACATGCAGAAATATCACCTTATATACACATTTGAAAGATATTAAGGTTCAATCCAAAATATGCCCTTTTTATGAAGACTTTTATGGGTTTATTTTGGTATATCCTAAAACTAAATATTCACATTCACAATATTACCAATAATTTGATATACTGCCTACAACCTCTAAATCAAACTGAAATCAGGTTGAATTTGGAGATATGTGAATCTGTTTTAGCTGCAGCTGGAGTTAGTGCTTCTGGTTATAAGCGCTGACTGAAAAATCTCATATCTGATGTGTACATGTGTAATGTGTATGTGTAACTGAAAGTGAAAACTGGGGAATGCCTTGTATCAACTAAAATGCACTCATTGTTTCTTGATGGAGATTATGTAATTCATGCTCTATCTAATAAAATACTGTAATCTTACCTGGTGTAGGCTTTTCTTTTGTGTTGTCATCCTAAATGAGAGAAAATTTTAAAAAATTAACGTAACTGTTTAAATTTGTTAACATATGCAAACTGTTAATTGTAAAATGTCCCACCATTTGCAGCAGCTGCAGTATATCCGGGTGCTTTTGAACATATGAGTCCACCATTTTCTCGGCATTGAAGTGCACGTCTTGGTTGACATAGATGAATGCCTTGCTGCACTGTCTTTGGTCCTCTGGTGTGGTGTTCAGGTAGGCTTGGCACCTCTCCTGCACCATATGGTACTGCCCATACACATCTGCCTCAGTGTTTACACAGGGGACGGTGCCCAGCACCCTCAGCAGATTCTGCACATTTGGGTAGAAGCCGATGTCGGGGATCTTTAGTGTTGCAAAAACAGTCGTGGGCAGAATTCTGCGCTTGCTGGCATGTCTCCATTTCACTTCCCAACAACCCAGTTCTTCATAGAAAGTATCTGGCCTCGCAAGGTTGTTCAGATTAGCATCTGCTACTTTATCTCTGCGGATGCTGAAATTGTGGTCAGCCATGTAAGAGGGCACTAATGAAAGCCACCGGAGAATACGGACCATCTCTATGCCCAAAACTCTCTTCACCTCCAGAACCAGATACTGTAGGATGGGTCGGCTCAGAGTCTCCCTGTACAAGTCTTCTAGTGGGGTCTCTGCATTGGCTTGGTCTGTCTCAGGTTTGGTGATTTCAACACCAAGCTTCTTTGCCCTCCCCACAGCATCAGCAAACCATTTTCTATGTAATATTGCAAGCTCTTGTTGGTATTTGCTTAGCAGCTTTAAGGCATTAGAAATGCTGTACTGTAAAGTACTGCTGACGCTGATGATTCCCCTGAGACTGGAGTTCAATATGCTCACACAACAGAGTGTGTTTTTCAGAACAACAAGAGTGATTATAAAATTAAAATTCTTCAAAATGGGCTTGAGCCTGGCCATTTGTTCAGCAGTATCTTCATCTACTTTTGAAATAATTTCATTGATGCAATTAAGAAATGGTTCCAGGATATCCAACATGGTTAAGAAAGCATCAGTGCCATATTCCCAGTTACTACTTAAACATGTCTTGATCCTGTCCACCTCACCTTTTATATGCCCATACGCCATCTGAATCTTTCCTTCTAGTCTCTTGGAAAGCTCTGGTGTTCTCCTGAGTAATGAGGCCACCTCCTCCACAGTGTCAGCCACATTCTGAATAGAGGCCACAGGCATGCAACGCATGATCCAAATGTTAAAAGCATACGGCTCACTTGGAGACAGAACCACCTGTGGGAACTCCTGGAGGATTCTGCAGGTAAGGTCTCGGATTTTTTGACACATTTTGCCTTTGACAAGATAACTTATCCCTCTGCAATGCTCCATCCTCAAGCCCCATTTGTTTCTGAGCTCTGAGATAAGAAGATAAAAAAGATTCTCGGCATCTACATCACATGGAAAAAAGCCAATTAAGTGCTTCTGTGGAAGCCCTGCCACTGTGACAGAGCGAATATAAACTGGAATCTGCTCCTTTCCCTCTATAATGGTCACTTCCTGAAGGAGAATGGAAAAGAATCGTGCTAAGCGAAGGCTGTTTTGGATTTCCTCACGCATCAGGTCTTCACTAAACTGCAAGATTTCTTTTTTGTCAATCTTCTCCACACAGATGCGATTAAGAGACTGCTGACCCCTTGCACCTCCGATAGGATCATCCGTGGTGTTAGTGCCATTTATGCTGAATCCAGTGAGTGCCAAGATTTCTTTAAAATATGCTTTAAGTGTATCTTTTGCTTTACGGATGGCTACATCTTCCTGTGTTTGGGGTTCATCTTGCAGATCAAGTGCTGAACTGTTCGTATCACACACGTTGGTTGTCTCTGCAGCTTCTAGAAGAAAAAAAAAGATCTGGGTTTAATAAAATATACAAATTACATCAAACATAAATATTAAGAACATTTAATTAGAACACCCATACCTTTTGTTTTCTTTATAGAGGTGTGGTCCTCTTCAGACTAGAAGCAAAAATTGAATAATAACTTTTACACTCAAGATAAAATTGCACAAACTCCAAGCATTTAATTAGCAACTTACCTGATCTCCAGCTCGCTTTCTGTTGACTGGTTGATTGTTTACTGGTGCTGTAATGTTGAATATCGTTGGAACAGCATCTTCTTTTAGAACAGTGCTAGAGTCATCCTAAGAACAAAAGCTTTCATGAATATTTCAAGTTTTCAACAGAGAAGAGTTGAGTTTTATTAATGTGCTGCATTCCATTCTAACTGGGAAATATATTAAAGAAATTGATTATTATATTTGTTCTGTTGGAAAGGTGCAACATGTAAAAAAAAAAAAAAAAGCTCAAAAGTGCACTGATTTAAAATAAAATGATCATAAAATAATCTCCCAAACAAGGGTATAGTCATATTTTTAATTTCACAATCCATTCACATGTGCAATATTTGAACCTCAAGCATGAAATTCACAGGCACGTTATAGCACATTTCTGATGGATTGGCAATATGTCCTGAATATCATAATTAAGAAAAAAAAATTCCATACAAATTTGTGTCAACAAATAATACAGGGATTCAGTGTTTGAAATAAAGTTAAATGTGGTGGATGATATTCTTACCTGATGAGAAATCATAGCAGGCTCAAAGTGCTTTGCACATAGTTTATAAGTCTTGTGCAGGTGGTCTGGGGCTTCTGATCCCAAATCTTCACGATGACATTTTGTCAGCCATAACTTACAACTGGAAGCATATAAGCAGAATATCAATAGAATTACAAAGGGTGGAAGATAAAGATGATTAGTGACACAAGCCTATTTGCATTTTAATAACGAATATGGACATTTATGTTTTGATGTGAATTTGTCGAACTTTTAAATTATTTATTTTAACATAAGCTCTGCAACAGGCTATACATTTCTACACTCCCTCAGAAAAAACCGAACAAACGCTGCTCAGATGCATAACCCAGTCTGACATTTGGACAATGACCCGATGGTTCATCTGACTAATGAGTGCACTCATCCAGTCGATAGGTGTCGCACAGTAATGGAAACAACGCTAAAGTTAGCACTTTGTGAAAAAAAAAAACATAATGTACAAACGTCGGAGAAGACTAGAATAAGAACAAGATTGTGTGATGGTCTCAGGTCTTGAACCACAAACAGTGAGTTTACGATCCCCGTGGACTTTCCCAAAGAGTAACACAAAATGCGCCATTTTCCACTGATTTCGGATGGATACTAGCCTGCCAGCCAACATGCTGTTATGCTAGTGTCGGTGCTAATGGGAAGCTAACACAATTCGTTAAATCTGTTAAATTTACTCAAGATTGTCTGTGTATAGAAAGCACAACACGTACCGCTCAGGGTCCAGTGGAAAACTGAAAAGTGGGGTGTTCTCGCCCTCTCCTCGCTGATAACCACAGTTGGCTGCAGCGCAGCAGTCAGTCATTTTGGTTTGCAATGTAGCCAGCTAACAAGTTAGCTAGCTTCGCTGGTGGTTGCAAACTGGAAATGCTACAGTACAAAAACTACATGAGACTTTAAAGAGTCATGCTTTTGCCTCAGCCTGCAAAATGCAAGATCAATCGTATCGATGGCTTCGGTTGAGAAATCTGGACAAAACTAAAAGTGGTCTAAATCCATGCTCCCAAAGTTGCCATTCGGCGCTTAGACAAGAGCGACCCAAACGCGTGAGATGTGTACAACCCACAGCCCTGTGCTACAACCAGGAACTGAAGTGTGCAGGGCAATGCACAGGACTGACCACCAGAGGGCGGAGTGCGACTACTATCGCCTCTGTTATGTAGGTGTTCAGAAACTGTTATTGTATCATTGTATCGCATAATGTTCAAGTAATTATGGCAAATTATATTGCATCACATATGGTGCTAGTTTAAAGCAGGTTTGCAAAACAGTTTATGATTTTATTACATTTTTAATTTTATTGAAAGGCAGATAAAGCTTTAATTTTTCACTACATCTTAACAATGTAAAAGGCCATTACAAATTCAGCAATTCAACAAACATGGCAAAAAGTGTTTTACAGCTTTGAATCATAATAATAAATAGCACATCTTTAATAAGTTCTCACTACAATCACCCTTTCAGAGGAGCACCTTTTTTTTATTTATTTTTATTTTTTATTTAGGATCAGTTTTGACAAATAGATCAACCAGTGAATCCAGATCACACTGGACATGAGAATTTATGTTCATAAATGCAACACTTTTTGATTTCATTCTGTCTGGGACTTCTTCCATGTACCTGGAGAAACGCTGGTACACCACATTGCTAGTATTGTCAAAAGACAAACAAGGTAAGATGGCAAGTAATCTGAAAACTGCCAACATATTAGGGAAGAACTTCATGTCAGCGAGCTGGAGTGTGTCTTGGACATTTGTGGGAAAAGATTCCTGCTTGGTCTTTTTGCTCCATTTAACCCACCAACAGTTGAGCTCTGCAGAGAAGCTATCTGCATTTGGGACGTCACTCTTAAAAAACTCCACACAATCCTCATCAGGTTTAGCAGATTTGTTCTGCTCGATAGCGGCAGGAACTAGTGCCAGACCTTTAAGCGTTTTCAGGACATGTTCACTGACGACTTCACTCAACTCATTGTATATGCCACTCACCACAGCAAAAGACACGTACTCCTTGTAGTAATTCTCCTGATGAATTGCAACAGATTCTGACTGTTTTCTCAGAAAGGACCGAGGAACCTTCACCGTAACATCCACTACAGATGCAATATTGGTCGCTTCTTCATACCAGAATTCATGGTAAACGTCAATGTTGTCTGCCACCTCCTTAATTGACTGCAACACTGCTGGAAGAGAGCTTGCTGCACCACTGATATCTGCAGCATTTCCATGCATGTTTTTACCAATAGCCTGTGTAAGAGCAGTTATATTTTTCAACACAATTAACGTCATCAGAAACTCAAAATCAGTCAGAGCTTTTGAAATCACCATAGCTTCATGTGCAACCTGGTCACTCCACCTTACATCTTCATTGTCATTCACACTATCCAACCAAAGAAGCAATGATTCATAAATTTCAACCCCAATTTCGAAAACATTGTGGCTATCTGTCCACTTAGTTTGACAGTAGCCCTTTAACGCATTGGCTTTCTCTGCTCTGTCTTCATAAAAAAGTGAAATTGCTTGCTCAAACTCTGCACCCAACAAGGCGGAGCGACTGAAGAAAGCGCCAATCTTCTTAAGGGTAGACATGACAAGCTGGACCCCCACCAATGGCAAACTATTGGCTAGTGAGATATTTAACGTTTGAGTTGATCGTATTGCTAATACTGCTGCTGGGAATCTCTCTGTTACCTTGGCTGCAAACTTTTTTATCTTGCTAGAATGTGTTCCAGAGCAGGAATGGGCTTGGCCTTTACACTGCTCCATTTTCAGCCCCCATTTTTCACTTATTTCATTCAGTACATTTTCTGCCACAACATCCTCCTCTCCATTGAAGCACACCAACCCAAGAAAGCTTTCACGCTGGCTGTTTGTCTTATCTACAAATCGAACAAAAACAGGGAGGAGCAATTCTCCAGAGATGGTCACCAAATTGTCGGTAATTAATGAGAAATTACCACTTTGCGTGACCTCTTCCACTAGTTTACCACGGATATATTGTTCACAGACTTCTATCATCTTATTGAGCTCATCTGGAAACTTCTCCTTATTCTCATCCCACTTTTTCCTTAGAATATCGTCTCCACTTTGTATGCGATAATCTAACAGAGCTTGGAAGTTGCTTAGCGTTGGATTGTTCTCAGAGTCCTCTCCTTGGTATGTGGGAGAAATATTATGTCCTCCTAACAGCAGCACAATCTCAAATAGAGACTTTAGATACTCTCTGTTCTCATCTTCTTCTGACAGTGGCTGTGTGCTATCGGCAGATTCAGGTTCAGGTTCAGGCTCAGGCTTTTTCATCTCTACAGGAGAAATAAACAACGTTATTATATTATAAACTAAAAATGAATAATAAAGTACATTTTCAAAACAATCAACAAAAAAGGGGAAACTTACTTTTTCTTCCTTTAATATCCTTTTCATTGGGTTTTGCCTGTAAAATAAAAAAAAATAAAAAATTGTAACAATCAAGAACTTCTCATCACAAGAGTAGACGTTAACTAGTCAAATCTATTGTACACTGCTGAGATTTTCTGAATGCATTTTTAACCAACTACAGGTTTGAACATGGTGACTAGATGGAGAATATTTACAAATAAAGTTGTAGTAGATGAGAATTAGAAATTGGCTGTTCTCTATAATAAACTTCTTTTGGACATGTGTTTTACAGTCCAGTTAATGATGACTAAAAAATTACAAATATTTAAATTAATAATCAATGTTATTCTGATTAATTGCTGTAGCCCTATTCACTTACAACTTCTTTCCTCTTCCCCTGGCTGCTCTGAGGCATTTCTGGTGAGTCAAAGATGGTGGGAACAGCATCTTCCTTCAGCACCATGCCCTGTGCCTCCTACAACATGCGCGATACAGATTTGTGTGATTTTATGTATCAGGAATGTTTCACAGTATGGCATTAAACCTTTCTATCCTCATGGGACCAAACCAGACCAAGTTACAACCCAGATTGGTAGAGAAACAACCTTGTTCAGCCAGAATGCCTGTTTTTCTATCTATTTCTGAGCAATAAACCCAGCTGTAATTTAATAAATGTAAAGTAGAGGTGTTTAATGTCATACTGTGGAACATTCCAGGCAGAGCAATGAAATATCCATAGAAACAAGCAGGTGATGGACCCCCAACCAACAAATTACATCATCCAGTTTACAAATAACTTGCAACTTACACTATCAATGGCAGATTGTTGAAAATGCTTCCCACAAAGTCGTTCATATTTGTACAGTTGCTCTGCAGGTTTGTCAATGAGATCTTCCCGCTGACATTTCTCCAGCCACTGCTTGCACCTGAAAAGTTTAATTAATGTTATGTTTTCCTCCATAATAAAGTTTGCAAGAAATGTTTCTGCTGGGACGCCTCTTTGTTGATAACTTAGTAATAATAAAACGGAAACTATTGTGTAATTAAGGGACATTGTAATGCACTCTGCCCTTGCATGACCCACATGTGAGTCAGTCTAGTCACATTTTCTTTGTGTTTTGGTCAATTTTAAGCAGCTTTTCTGTATTTTACCTAAAAAAAAAAAGACAATGTATGCCTCTCTTTACTGTTGGCAGGTATCAAATTGGTCAAAAATAGGGACACAAAGGACATTTCTTTTATGAAATTGGGACAAAATAGTGGTTTTGGTCAAATCTGCTGGAACAGGGCTCAAAACTGGGACTGTCCCCGGTAAATAGGGACGTCTGAGCACCCTACTTGGTTATGACTACTAATGGTGCAGGTGTACATTACATTTTTAATCATTCATTCAAGATTTATAGCTGAAAGACCAATTATAATGCAAAAAATCTCCAGTATAGTTTCCAAATAGCCTCTCGCATAATATACTATCTTAAATGTAATACTAGTTAGCATCTTCTTTTTGTTGTGTTTAAGATTACCTTTCAGAGTCCAGGGGAAACCTAAATAATGGTTGTGAATCGGACTCTCCTCCAGTGCAGTTTGAGACAGCGCAGTGAGACAGCATTTTGGTTTTATCTCAAAAACTTTATAAAGATGTTTTGTTCACGGAAGATTCATGGCGACTACGCGCCTTTGCGACGACGACTTCCGGTATCATCACGCTTCAAAATAAAATAAACATGCGCTACAGTAGAGATAAAGATGTTTTTATTAAAATTTCTCTGCTCTCTGAATTGCAACAGTTGGATATTAACATGTGTGTAGATATTCATTTAACTGTTTGATTTAGGGTGACCAGACGCCCCTATTTCCCCAGTTTTGAGCCCTGCGTCCCCTGTCCTTGTGGATTTATCCAAAACCATTTATTTGTCCCAGTTTTATATAACAAATGTCCCTGGTGTCCGTATTTTTTAACCAATATGACACCTGCCAACAGTAAAGAGAGGCATACATGTCATTAGTTAAGGTAAAATACAGAAAAGATGCTTAAAAAATGACTAAAACACAAAGAAAATGTGACTATACTGACACATATTAATTATGAATTAGCCGAGTGCATAATAATTTTCTTTAATTACGCACTCGATTCACAATTTTATTATTACCAACCACAAACCGGGGGTGTCCCAATTTTTATTTTGAAAATCTGGTCACCCCAGTTTGGCTAGAATCATATGGGAGAAAATGTTGCCTAGCAAATTATAAATGCATGGTGTTGTGCAATTTTAATTTTAGTACTTATTCGTTTTTTGTTTCCAACAAAGGAATCACACCTCCTTAAAGAAAACAAAAGTAACATGGTTTGCAAATAAAGTGGAAATGTAACTAACCTATGCAAACATCAAATATATCTAAACGCATGGATGAGACCAGTGTAAGGTCACCAGACGACCCTGTTTACCCGGAACAGTTTCAGTTTTGAACCCTGTGTCCCCTGCCTCCGAAACCAATGATTTGTCCCAGTTTTATACATAATAAATAAGAAATGTCCCAGGTGTCCCTATTTTTGACCAATTTGATCTAAACCAGGCCTAAACTAGGACTAAAATAAGACTAAACCAGGACTAAAATAGGACTATCACCATTTTTTGATTAATCTGATCACCAACAATAAAGAGGAGCATAAATTGTCATTTTTTTTGCCAAATACAAACATTTTTTACAGAATTTATATATATATATATATATATATATATAATATATATATATATATATATATATATATATATATATATATATATATATATATATATATGTATGTATATAACAGTCATCCCAACCCTGCAGTGTCTCCCAGTTTTGACTTTTGATAATCTGGCCTAGACTAGTGCTGACTGTGTTATGATTTTGCACGCCCATTTGAACTTTCTCATGCTGAACTCAACTCTGCCGACATAAACCAGTACAGAAGGAATCCTATTTAGTTTCAAACATTCAAAAATCCAAACCGAGTCCTAGGAGGGGCCTGTTTACAGTCTCAGCCCCAGTCCCGTCCACGTGCCGTCCCCTCCTGCGTCTCCATTGGTCTGTTTTCTGCTCTCGCGGGATCCACGTGTCCAATGATACCGACGTATTCACAGCGCCAAAGTCAAACAGACGAGCGTTTCTCTCGGAAAACAGACACAAGTGCTTTGCTCTAGTTTTGTCCGGACTTGTCCATCGTGAGAGAGAGGGTTTCTCCTCATATACGACGCCCATCAGAGTAAGTTTGAGTTTAGTTTTAACATTTTTTAAGGCTAGATAAAAGTGCATTAGTGTTTCAGAGCTAAAATCAGTCTAATGTTGTCATGTCAACTCCTGTTCACCGCGTTTCTGAAAGTTATCTGATGTTACTGTAATTGTATTAGTGTATTATGTATGCATTGTTGTGTTTTGTCACGCATCAGTGCGTAAAATGTAAGAGCTGCTATACTGTTTTTATACTATTAGTTATCTCATTTCTTCCATCCTCAGGTTTTCTGTTGGTTAGGTCAATATGGACAGCACTACAGTTTCGAGACAAAACAACCCCATCAAGAAAGTAAGTCACTTTTCTAGTCTATATGGGGATGCTAGTGCTTTGCCTGGAATGTTACACAGTATTGCATTAAATGAATCAAGTCGTATTGATTACAACATGCATGTAAGTGGGCTCGCCTCATTCCAGATCTGACCTGTAATATGGCTTTGAGGTGTTACCTACTTGTCTCTAATGTAGGGGAACCAGATTTTCAAAATTAAAAATTGGGACACACCCAGAAAAGAGCACTAAACAAATGACAACATATTCTCCTCTTTATTGTAGACGAGTATCAAATTGGTCCAGAATTGACTTAGACTTAGACAAACTTTACTGATCCACAAGGGACATTATTTGGGCACAGCAGCTCACGCATCACAATAATAATAACAAAGAGCAAAAAATATAAATGAAAAAATAAAGAATAGGGACATCTGGGACATTTCTTTTGTAAAACTGGGACAAATCGGTGGTTCTGGATAAATCTACTGGGACAGGGGGCAAAGGGCTCGAAACTGGGACTGTCCCGGGTAAACAGGGACATCTGGTCACTTTACTTCAATGTGATAGATATGTTTAATGCCATACTGTGGAACATTCCAGGCAAAGCAATAATAATATCAGTTGAGACAAGCAAGCAATAGAAATGTGATTTGATTCTTTTCATTTTTTTTGTATTCAGAGAAACAAGGAGAATGTTCAGCCCGTCCCAGTGGTGAAATCTTTCATTAAACAGAACATTTTACAGTCTTCTGCTCCCCTCCAAACAAATGGGTATAAAAAAGATCATTTGGGGAAAACTGCTAAAGAAGCACCTGCTAAACAAACTGAGAGAAGGCAAATCATTGGTGTGGGAAAAACGGCAACTCTGAAAAATCCTGCACCTGCAAGAAAGCCAACTCTCAGCCAGGAGTGTAAAAATGAACAAGCTGCAAAAATCAAAAAGCTTGTTGGAGAAGCGCCAAAACCAGCAACCTCCCAGCCCCCGAAACCTGCTTTTGGCATGTACAAAGGCAAAATTATTGAGTCAAAGATCGGATCCATTTGGAAATCAAGTGCTCCTGCTAAAAGTGAAGACCAGAAATCAACTGCCCCCAAAACGACACACCAAAAATCTGGAAATCCAACCACAGCTACAGGGCGTGGCTCAAATACATCAGCTTCGAACAGATCTGTCAAACCCAACACCAGCAGCAGTCGCCCCCCAAACGCATTCTCCTCCGCTCGCCCTCCAACCAGAAGTGTCCCGACCGCTGCGCTCCCCAGAAATGCCACAGTAGCTCAAAGCAGAAGATGTGGTACTTTGATCGCAAAGCCAAAAGTTCCAGTCACAGACAAGAAAGCAAGCAAGCCCCCAGTCACAAGCACTGTTAGTCAATACAGAAGAACTAATAGTGAAACTGCAGAGGAGAAGAAGTTAGTGCTTTTACTTAATATGAATAAATATAATGTATCTTGATTAATATTGTCCATTTTATCCTTATTAACATTTGTGTGTTATGTTTTACAGGGCAAAACTAGCAGAATGGCTTGCTCTAAAGGGGAAGACTCTTAAAAGACCAGCTATGACTTCTACAGCCCCCTCCACAAAAAACAAAACATCTAACAAATCAGCTGCTCCTCCTTCGAAATCTCAACTTACTACAAAGTCTAATTCTGAACCTGAAGTTAAAGAGGAGCCCAAACCAGTCTCTGTTACACCTGTCCTCCCCGAAGACAACCCGGAAGTAGACAACCTGGAAGTGGACAACCCGGACAAAAGAACCTCTCTCATTATGAATACCACCCTGGACCTGCTCGAGAACTCTGATTTAGATCTGCCAGTTGACCCACAGGACGGCGGCAGTGATGAAGTTGATAATGTGAGAGAAAAATCGGTTATTTTACTCACAATTTGAGTAGGTGCCATTATCAAATCACAAAAAAATGCAATGATTTGGGTAATAGGATGTCTACTGTAAACTGTTATTTGAAGAAAACTACTAACACTGTAGTTTAGACCTCTACAAACATGTTCTGAAATTCATGGGATTTTTCAGTTTTCTTTCAAGTATTAAAGGTTCATTCTGTAAATTTTTTCTGATAAAGGGTCTGTCAAATACCTTTCTCCAAGGAAATGTTACTGCTTTGTCTGGTTTCACATATGGTATTAAACCTTTACATCTTCATGGAGACCAAACCAGACAATTTCAGGCAGAGCAATGACATCTCCATAGAACCAAGCAGGTGACAGACCCCAACCAAAAACTAAAAACTAGGATTCTGTTCAAACATAAATCACTTTATGTAAAATTGTTTAGCCTGAAGTTATTTTCACAGCTATGGTCTTGTCATTCTAATAATCTTTCAATCTCTATCTTTTACCAGATTGTTGTAAACCTGTGTGATGCACTAGAAGCTTTGGCACCCCCCTCTCACTGTGATGATGGTAAGTATGTCTTCTCTTCTCAGTGGGGAAAACATTTGTTATTGTGCGACTGTGTGCAGCTCAGTAGTTAGATCTGCAATTACATTTTTTTATTTGAAAAACTGAACACTTCTATCTAGCGTTTTCAGTTTTGTTCAGTACTGTTTCTATGATGGTCTCCCATAGTCTTAATTTTTACCCCATAGTCTCATAACAAGCAATGAATTGGTATTAAAATGAAACTTTTCCTATACACCTGCTTATTATATTATTCAAATAAGGTTTGCCTGTGCTACTGGAGTCCCAGTTATAAACCTGGGACAGTGAATGAAAGAAAGTTCTGCAAATAAAGTACAGTAATATTATCTCGTTACAGAGGTCCCAGTGGTGAACAAGTGTAATGACATGGACAATGAAGCAAAGACAGAATGTGTACAAGAGGAAGTGAAGATGGAAACACCAAACAAAATGATGGTGAAGAGTGAAGGCAGTGAAAGTGATGAAGAGTCTGAGGAAAGTGACGATGATGACTGTTATGTGAAGGAGAACACCCCACCGAAGGAGGAGGCTTCTGTCGTCAAATACAGTGTAAAAACCACACCATTCTTGCAAAGGTAACATGTATTTCAAGCTTCCCTCTGGTCTAGGCCTGTCATGATAACACATTTTGAAGTGTGATATATGGGCAAAAGAAATCTATAATCATGAAACCAATTTGTGCTATGGACATAATGACACTAAAGCAGGAATAGCTCATAATTTGGTGCTAAATGTATAGAATAAAACAGTAGTTTGAATCATTTCTATGGTTCATTATCAGATACAATCTTCTCCAAATCAAATCTAATTGTAGTACAGAAAAATAAGTCTATATAATAGTACTTCCCCTCTCGTACAAAGAAAAAGTTTCCATATTAAAAATTTGACCCCTGAAAATATTGTTAGAGCTTATCGATCTATCCCATATAGTAATTATGACAGACCTTCTCCCTCTCTGCACATTTGAAATGATCAGTAAATCAATAAATGTATTGTGTTTTAGTGTTAAGAAGACAATCGAGGATGAAGTTTGTTCCAGCACATCTAAGAGAAAGAGTAACATCAAAGACCTGAAGTTTTTGACCCCAGTGCGGCGCTCCAGTCGTATCCACCGCCAGTCCTCTCGTCTGCCCAACATGCTGGTCGACCATGATCCTTGTGTCTCTTCACTGGCAGAGTTGGTGAAACTGGATGATGACCCCAATGCTTACATCTACAGAAAGAATCCTGCTCTTCTGGATGACCTGCCCGACCAGCCCAGTCTGTAGCTCAGGCTCATGTGGGACTCAGTGCTAACTGTGGAATTTCATATTTGATACTGAATATGTTGTATGTTTCTGAATGTATTTGCACGCAAGATTATACTAATTCTTTATTTGAGATTTTGTTTGCTAATATATTGATGTGTATTAATAATACACTACAATGCCTAATACTTTCTATTGTTATATTCTGCTGGTACAAGCAAATTAAAATTTTTGAACATTGAAGAGTCTTTAAACACAATTTTTCCATTTTATTTCACCACATTGTAAAAATCCAGAGCACTTTAAGTGAACATTGCTTTCTTTCATCATTTAGTTTGGAACCGGAAATTTCCATTTCCATTTTACAGGACGTTTGATACCTGTTCCCTCTGATCCCAGATGATACATTTATTACAAAATAACAAAATCCACAAAACACTAATCTCTTTAATGCAATTCCTCCCCAAACAAAAAAGTATAAAAAGTATTTTTTCATTCATCTGCTGATCAAAGGGGAAGGCTTTCAGTGCTGTGCGCTAAAAAGGGTTCAACTTTTGTCAGGTTTTATGTCCTAGACAGTCCCCGGTTGTCCAGGTCTTTCACCTGTAAAAAGTCACAAAGTTAAATGTTAAACAATTGACATAGTTCATATCAGTTGTAATAGACCAAAATGCTTTACCTTGTATATCCTAACCAGCCAGTGCTCTGTAGTGTAGGCTTCCTCCAAGACATCCAGCTCAAAATCTTTATTTCCAATCTCAGCATTTCTCACTCTGTCATAACCAGGTGGGCGCTCTGTGAAGACAGAAACAGTCAAGTACTTCATTGCCTATCAACCAGTCTACACGTATAATAACAGTAGAGATTTAACATACATTTTAATTATATATTATTCTTATTCAGTTCATAGTGCGAAAGCTAAAGTAATTGTATTTTACCACTATCTCATAAGGAATACTTACTGGCTTCTGTATAGACCTGTCCGAAGCGGTAGTAGCACATCTTGTACATGAGGCAGTTGAGCAGAACAGGAGAGCCCTCACGATCCACTCTGAACTCCCCGGTGGGCGTGTAGTAGTCATGTTCTTTAATGTGCTTCCCTGTGTCTGTGCTTCCTCCAATACGCACCATCCAAAGAAACTTGTTGATGTCTAAATCATAGAAGTTAAAATATTTGAACTACAGCATCCAGTTTACACACAAGCAGTAAAATGAAGCATGCTTGTACAAATTTGTTTATTATTCCCACTTACCATCAGATGAATAGCCCGTTAGCCCTCCAAAGATGACCAAGACGTAACTAACATCCAGTTCCCTCATAATCTCATATGCTCTTTCCTCTGTAGATGCCATAGCCTAATGAAAAACAAACCAGTAAGAAGATGCTTTTCTCTCTTAAAAATGTGTAAAACAAAGTGAAAATATGCTAAAATGAACTTAACTTACCTGCCCAACTCTGGATATATGGGTATTGTTCCACGTGTTGTTGTCCACTAGAATAGTTCGATTAGCCATTGCAGTTATTTGGTAGCCATAATCCCACCATGACATAACCTTGGCGTCCTGTAAATTTGTTCAGAATGTTTATAGTTGCACATTTGTTGTGATTAATGTTTTTAAACTGTACACTATGTCCTTTTTTTGGTTGGAGATCCCCATGGAGATACAATTGCTCTGCCTACAATATTCTACAGTATGGTATTTGTTGTCCATCTTGTGTTTTTCTTGTTTATAAAAAAATATCTTGGGGGGGGGGGGTCACTGTGAGTGGGGTCACTTCTCCACAGATCTGACCTATAACCTGACCTGGCAATGTCATCTACTTGTCTACACTGAATTGATTATTCTAATGCCATACAGTTGAACCTTTCTTCCAGGCAAAACAATAGCACCACCATGAAGACAAGCAGGTGGCGGACACTACACTACAAAAGTTACATAATGCACCTTTAACAGTACGGTACATAACTGACCTCTGGGGTGTTGTGCCGGAGCCAGTAGTAAGCCTCTCTGAAATCATCAAAAATAATCCTGCTGCCGTCTCCTCCGCGTGCCGACAGGACGATGGAGGGAGAGGAGTAGGCCTCACTGGTCACCCAGGTCGAGTGGAAAGTGTAGGTGATGAGGAAGAAGGCCATGACCAGAATCATCCCACTGGCAACCTGCAGAATAAGAATGAGAATAAGCCAGAACAGTGAGTAGTTGTATTCATGAGACATCTAGAGGAGGTACAATGTGCTGTTTCACTGTCAGATTGTACATTTATAAAGAACCATAAAGCAGGCCAATAATTACTGGGTCATGAAACAAAAGCTGGCACAAAGTTCAGCATCAAATCAGCACAAAAGAACTAAGGTCAAATTATTTATACACAATAGCTTCAGCTTCATGATTCAACAAGACGTCATAAGATTAATATGGCAAGTTACCAATCATAAAATAAGCTTTCAGTCAAATCTTATATTACTCTCAAAAACAGTGACTCTTCCATAGAGTTATTAGTTATTAGGATCCTGTAATCTAAAATCATGGCCATGCATTTCTAGAAAGTGAACTCAACAAACTATGCACCTACTGTAAATGAAAATGACCTGTGACCTGAGACTCAGAGCTTGACAGTGTGCAGTGTGAGCCCAGGGTCATACCTCATTTTTGATGGGATAGGTGGCATCCTGCTGCTTTTTGGACTTCTTGTCTGGGCGGCTGACATCCAGGTTCTTCATGTAAGTGGTCAGAACCTGGGACACTCCGATACCAGAGAGAATGCACATGACCGGAGCCAGCACCAGCATCAGACGTACCTGAGGAGAAAGTATAACAACACTGAGTACATTAATAAGGTCAGTAAATAAGTAGCAGATCACTACAATAATCAGAAAATAACACCCAATAATTAAACCTGGTTTCTGGTATGTGTCGATTTAACTGTTGTATCCGGAAATACAATATTTCAATCTTTTCTCCTTCATTCTTGTTTTGCCACATTATTTGTAGCTGTTTACATGACAATTTAATAATCTAATAACTCCAGAAATCAGATAATTATCAGATTTTTGGTGTGCATGTAAACAGCCACTATCAATACTATCAATATCACTATCCACTATCCTACAGTCTATTTATGAAGTAGAAGATCTCAAGTACCATGACAGCTGAGAAATACATGCTGGTCACTCCATACATGATGATGAAAATCCTTGCATCCGACAGGTTGTTGAAACAATAATACAGGCCAACTAAAGGGAATAAAAGACAAATGTTGATCACAACTAAGCAGTGCAATCAATATTTTGTAGTTTATGGAAATTGTAATGGTAGTAATAGTAATAGCAGTAGTAAATGGTTGCTTAAAAAGTGTACTATGTAACTTGTCTGGGTATGCCTCCTGCTAGTTTCCTTGAAGCTCTTATAGCTTTGCCTAAAATGTTCCACATTATGGTATGAAACATCTGTCTTGGAGTTAATCAATTACAGATGTCTATTCAAAAAACATTCATTCTTACTGTGGGTTCTTCTCCACAGACCTGACCTGCATGTTCCCATAGAGATATAAAAGTTCATTGCCATGCTGAGGGACATTCCAGGCAAACCATAATAACATCTCCATGAAGACTAAAAATGCACTATGCAACTTTTCTGGTGGAGAGTGCAGTCTGCTAAATTGCATAAATACACCAATTAAAGGTGCACTGCGCAACTTTTATGATGGAGGGTCCACACTTACTTTCCCTAGAATGTTCCATGGTATGACATTAAACATATCCATCTAGCAATTATACTTTGTGGGTGTTTCTATTGCTCAAAAATACAATAATTCCTTCTGTGAATAGGGGCGACTCTCCACAGATCTGAATTGTAATGTAGCGTAGTACTGTAACCAGCTTGTCTCCCTTGTGATAGGTATGTTTAAACTATAATGTGGAATATTATAGACAAAGCGATAACATTTCCATGGTGACAAGCAAGTAGCGGACTCTCCATTAGAAAAGTTGCGTGTTGCACCTTTAAACTCAAGCTTTCACTTGCCTGGAAACATAAACACCAACAGTTGCAGATCAAAATAATAGGAGGACCAAGTTGTGGGTTGATGTTCAGAGACAGAGGCAATGATGGGAATGTTGTTCTTGGCATATGAAGGGTCAAGCAAAGAGTAGAAACGACCAGTCCATGGGGAGATTTTTCCTGAAGATTACAAGAGAAAAAACACTTGGTTCAACTATTCAAACAGGACTGAAGTCATTTTATTAAAACTAATCTCTCACCAGTCAGCATCAAGACAGCTCCCACCGAAAGCAGGATGAAGCCCACCAGGGAGATGACGCTCTTGAACAGAATCTCAAACTGCTGTGCGTTGAGTTTACTGCGCAGGTAATCCACGAATGCATGAATCTGACACAGACCGAACACCCCAAAAGCAGCCATGTGTTCTGATGACTGCACTGGCTGGATACAGAGAAGAGGAAGTTTGAATAAATGTAAGAAAAATAAGTAAAATATGCCCTTTATAGTGAATAAACATTATTTATAAACAGTGGTTCTCAACCTTTTTTCCCCCCTGTATGTGCGAGAGACTTGGCAGGGCCCCCAATGTACAACTGTACCTTTAATCTATTAAATTAGTTATTAAGACACTTTTTACTCCAAGTGCTACCTATGGAAATACCTGGCATTCACAGTACCACCTATTTCAAACCAGGTCTAAAATAGGACTCCATTCTATACTAGTTTGAAATAAGGACTAGCTCAAAAAACTGTATATTTGGCCAAATTCAGAACTACAAAGGAACCACCTGAAGAAGTTTGCATACTACAATTTGAGAAACACTGCATTATGTAACTAAAATCAACCCTAACAAGCCTTTATTTCAGATCAACAAACAGAAATTATAGTGTTTTCATTTCATATACCCAATTCTCAATCATATGCGTGGGATTTTTATAATTTATTTAGCAGAATACACATTTTTGATGTTGGACCCTATGACTATCACAACTCTGGGGAGCCCTTACAGTCTCTTAGTGCCCCCTATGGGTTGGTAACCACTGTTTTAGAAAAATTCTTACCTGGAAGCCTACGAATGAAATCTGCATGGAGAGAATAGTGCCGAGACAGTACACGGTGCAGTAGGCCACGTAGATGCGGTGAGAGAATCGTCCGGTCAGCATCAAAACCAGGACGTGAAGGGGAATCAGATTTATCAGAAAAACATAGCCACCCCATGAGGAAACCTACAGATAAATATAAATGTAAAGTGAATGTTAATGCTAGACAATTAAACAAAATGAAAACAACACCATTATAGATTTTCTCCTACTCACCATATAGAAGTATGCAAGAGCACACATAGATGACCAGTACAGAGATCCAGTTTTAACAGCCTTGATCCACATGTAATAGGTCAGCAGCATACAAAAGATGGCAATACCTGCAGTATAAGATAGTTTAAGGATAGTTTAACAGAAAGCTTGTATTTTTTTATTCATTATCCACCACCGGTTGCCTTCGCATTTACCTTCATTATCATAGGACCCAGCAACAGAACGTGAAATGTACCCAGGCACCACAGCAATCATGGCTGCTGCAAGAAGTCCAGCTCCTGCATCCTGAAGAGGTGGAGAAGGTTAATATTTTTATTCATTTTACCCATACAGATGTCACAGGTTGTGGTTCATTTAAAGATTTAAAGATGACTTGTGGCCAAAAGGAAAAATCTAAACTTCAGTAGATTCAGTAGAGTACGGTGGCGTTACAATAAACACAAATCTATATTTTTAGCCATCTCTGTTACTTAATTATTTTGAATTGCATTATTTATTTGTTCTTTGTTCTGATATTGTAACTTGTGAGATAAAATAATAACTAAGACACCTTATCTTTTACTACAATTTAAAAGGAACAGACATGTTGAAAAAACCCAGATTCAGAACTAACCTTATAGAACAAAGCACAGTCAGTTTAAGAAAATAGTCTTGACAAAGAAAACAAAGGATCGATTGCAATAATGGCATTTAAAAAATACCGTACTTAAAATCCAGTGCAATATGTATGTATGAAAAAGAAAACTAAGTTGTTGTACATAAAAGTGATGCTATGCGTTTGTAACTGATTAATATTTGTGATTGAAATGTATTAATTTGAAAGGTTTTAAAGTAACAGTGTTAGTGTATTGTCTGGAAAAGGGTAAAAAAAACATAGGATTCTTTCTACTCCTTTTCATTCATTTCTTGTAGCTTAAATGTTACGACACCGCTAATGTTTTTTATACTTAATGAAATAAATAAATAAAAAAAATAAATCAATCTTTTCATTTACAGTTAGGTCAATATCTGAAAAATAAAATGGCTGTTTCTATGGAGTAAGAAAGCTGTCAAAAATATTTGTGCGCATAAAATAGAAATCCGTGCGTATTTGGCTGTAGCTGCGCATAAAATAAATATTTGTAAACCAGCCAAATATGCACGGATTTCCCAAATACGCACAAATATTTTTAACAGCTTTCTTACTCCATATGTTTCCCATACCTTTAGCTCCTTGGTCAGGTGGTATGTGACGATTGCAGTGAAGGAGGAAAACAAAGGAGCGAGGAAGACACAGACGTTGCGGATGTCGATGGTGATGTGAAAAAAATGTAGAACGTGATACAGGACAGCTGACGTGATCATCAAACCTGTTCACAAAAGAAATGTTTTTAATGCAACTTGTCTAAAATGTTCAAACTGCTCCCCTTTTTTCTAAATAAATAAATCTCTACACAGTTTAATATAGAGCTCGGGATTGTGTACACATCATGACATTTTCAGTTAAAAACATGCACTGTTCATGGGGGGTCCGCTACCTAGTTGTCTCCATTGAGAAATGATTGCTTTGGAATGTTCCATGGTATAACATTTAATATGTCCATCTAGCATTTATTATTTGTGGGTGTTTCTATTCACAAAAATACAATAACTCCATGTTTGGATATGGATGACTCGCCACAGATCTGAACTGTAATGTAGCGCAGTGCTGTATGTAACCTGCTTGTCTCCCTCGTGATAGGTAGGTTTAATCTATACTGTGGAACATTCTAGACAAAGCAATAACATTTCCATGGAGATAAGCAGAGGGTGGAGTTTCTACTAGGAATGTTACACAGTGCATCTTTAACCAAATGGAAAACCAACTCAGATTATATAAATACTAACTACAGCATTCATTCAAAAGTAGCCTGACACTATAATGTGATAAATTTATTACCAATAAATATCCAGTGGTTAACTGGGTTGTCCCATGATGCTTTTCTGTACTTTTAAGTGTTGTTTTGGCCAGTGCATCTCTATGTACGTTTTGCACTGCTGCTACAAAAATGACAGATTTGGTCAATAACTTTCACTTTTGGACAATCGATCTCATGCTCCATTTGCCAGTAGTGTGATTCAGTGAGTAGCTTATTGAATTGTTCAACAGCTCTTTTGTTTACCTTTTAATGTTGCTTTTGCTAATGCATCCCTCTATTGACATTAGGCAGGGCTGCCAGTAAGATACAGTTTTTAACGTTCAGTCTGGAGCTCTATTATCACTTACTGTACAGGACTGAATAGAGGATGTTTTTTACCTGGATAGATAGTTCCACCAATGATCCTTCCAAGAGGGTACCATGCCCGGTCATCAAACCAGTTGTGAAACTTATAAAATCCTTCTTCTGCCAAGAAGCGGGTGGTACGGTAGTTGAAATACCTGATATTAAAAATGTAAGATATTAAAAACATGAGTAGTAAATGAGGACAAGTGACGGGAAAAAAAAGTAACTTACGGATCAAATTCATGGATAACACTTTCAAATCTCAGCACAGAGAAAAGTCTGGTGGAGAATGCTACAGAAAGACAAGAAAACACAAATCATTTGTCATTTATATTTCAGAGATACTAGCACAGGGCCTGTGTAACGAGGACTTACATAGCACTGCAGCCATAGACAGAATGAGCAGCTTTAACAGTGTGTCCTGTTTCTCATAGGACAAACGTAAAAAGCCCAGTTTGGTCATTTTGGCGAGTTTATAAACAGCTCACCGTACTACCTGGAGAGGACAAAAACAATCAATATTAGTTAGATCACTGCAACATATAAAAAGACACGTTTTAAACTAACACTGACGATTATCCTGGTGTTCTCAAACCGGTAACAAGCAGACACAATAAAGCTAAGTGCAATGGTGAAAAGAGTAGTAGTAGTAGTACAGTTGACTGAAATGACTAAAAATGTACTTAATTACAAGTACTTTTGCACAAAAGTGTCCTCCTAAAGTTAAAAAATATGCATTACTTAAAATACTAGTTACTTTTTACCATCATTTTAAAGCATGTTAGTCTTTTACAAATCTTGATCATTATAACACTAAATTAAGTTGTTTAAAGCACAAGCCATTTATTCTCTGATCTTAAGGCAACCACAAATGTAATATAATGCAAAATAATGCTGTCATGCACGTTTTAAGGTTAAGAAAAGGATATGAGACAGCAGTGAGACATCTGTAGATTGGGACAATGATGGACTTGTGGTATACTCTCAGTAACTTTGATGACTTTGAAGTGTATCTAATTGCAATCGCATGCTAGAGTTATTCTTAATTACAAGAATATGTTTACAAATCTACTCAAAAAAGTAACTACCTTCAAAAAAAATCTACTCTGAATATTTGTAATAGTTACTTTACACCCCTGGCTAAGTGTTTTCCAAAGATACTACTAGTTTGTCCAACCCAACCAGATAAGGCCACGCAGCGAAGTAGCGTCAGGAAACCAGGAAGCTGCAACTTTGGCAATCCAAAGCACTGATTTGAGTCTCATATCTCATGCCAAAATGGATGATAACTCAAAAGATGAAGATAATAAATATGAAATGCACCACGTAGGAAGCTGGACACGTTTCAATAAACCCACTCATGGAAGCAGGGTTAATAAAGCAACTCACAAATTACTCAATGCTATGTACACCTGCGATGCAAATCAGAGTTACCAGCGTGTGCAACCTTTTTTTGCACTTTATAAAGCATTAAAAGAAATTTACACGTTTTTGTAATAAGAAGGCCGGTTAGTTCTGATGCTTGTATGAAGAGCTAGCCAGGCTAACAGGATAGCTTACGTGTGGCGTGCACTCCTCCTCCTTTTCTTAGTTTCAGATAAAAAATAACTAAACTGCATAAGAAAGCATAGTTTATATTGAAGAATTCTAGCTCCTAAGTATGATGATTACGTTCAGAAACACTCACCCGCTCCTCTGCTCCTGTTTCTCATACACTTCTCACACACAACCTGCACTGTCCACTAGTCCCGCCCCTCCTACTCCATGCTGTTCGCTCATTGGTTCAAATCCTCCCTGCGCAGACAGTCCATACATTTCATTGGTCAGTTATTTGCCCATCAAACTCACTTCCGTATCTTGCCGCGTCGATGTAGTGACGTGTCCTTACCGGGCAAGTTCATGTATTTATCATCTACTACTCTTTCTGGAGGAGATGCCAAGCACATCATCTCCCATGGTCCCATCCAGTTCACACCGACCACATAGTTAAATACTGTTATTTTATTGAAATGAAACTTACTAGTACTTTACAAAAATCTTACAAGCATCACCAGCCTCCTCCATGTGCATCTGTACTTGATATTGTAAATGCTCTCTTCTTAAATTTTGAGCACATCTCAGTAGCTCAGGGGTCACTTCAACAATTGCATTTGTACTACAACAAATCAACAGCAAACAGTACTAAAATGTAAGCATTTGTGTCAGGCTCAGATGTAAAAACAGGCATGTTAAGGCTACCCACCTACTATTAGGATGGGCTTTTTTTCAATGCTGCCCTTTACAGCCAAGCAATGATGTGCTAAGAACACAGCATGTTTAGTAGTTAAAATGCACAGAAAGGAGAGGTTTGGCAGTGTCTTTGCAATTTTGAACAATACGCAGACTAAAATGTGTCTTTGCTGGTGTAAATTTTTGTTTTTACAATTCACCTCAATCATGCAATCTCCCATGCGTGATGAGACAAAAGCTTTACCTTTTTATTCATTTTCAGTATTATATGGTCTATCCCTTTTATAAAACTCTAGAAGAGTTGAAGCCTTGCCCAGGGGAAACTGGAAATCAAACGTTTTTTTAATGTGCAAGAAAGCCTTAACACAAATGTCACCCAACTGAATGCACATATAGAATGGATGTTTTCTATGAAAGCCCCTCAAATGTAAAATGTTCTCTCTTTAGTATTATTTTACATAATCAACCTCTGTGGTTTCTTGTGCTGTAATTTATTAAAGGAGAGTCACTCAAATGGCACATTATACAAAAGATAAAACAAAAGTCACCAAAGAAAGTCAAAAACAGAACATATAATGTGTTTTTGAGTGTGAGGCACAGGGCAGTCGATTGTTGTGTCACACTGCTGTATATGTTGATGCCAGGTGCTGCAGATTAAACTCCACAGAGCCTTGGGGGGAGTTAAAACATCTTAACCCTTCTTTTCCCAAACAATCCTTCAGACAGAACCTCTTTTTCACAGTGTGTGAGGTGGCTTGCATTTTGTGTCCTTCATCAGATCCCTCACTGGGCGGGTAGGGGGCGCTGGCGAGATGGGGAGGTGTGGGGCGTGGCCAGTCGATCTGAGGAGGCAGATGATGTCAGGGACGACTGCAGATGGACCGTCTTGTGAAAGAGTTTGTTGCTAATTAGCACGACGAGGGAGAAGAGACGCAGCTGGAAGTGGCTACAAAACACAAATGTATTTATGAAAGCGAATATACAATAAGTATGATTTAATTTGTATAAAGCACTAATGTTTTTACTCACTACAGCTGTGTTGGCGTCTTAGCTTCATTTGCACTGATGATGAACAGGGGAAAGAGAATGGAGAACAAACAGCCACTGGGGGTATAAAGGATATGTTTGATTAAAAAACTACAGTGACAACATCAAAAGAATCAATCCACAAGTAATGAACAAAAGCTAAATAAAAACTTTATATTTGCATCATTGGACTCATGATAAATAGGCCATGGTCTCAGTGTATTCTAATACTATGCTCCAAACTTGTCTTGAGTATCCCTAAGCCTCATCTAACACACTGAGTATTTCCTAACTTGTGTAATGGTGATTCTTTAGTAAACTATGAATCTTCTAAATTTAAATTCTATTACGCTTCCTCTATCTTGCTTTGATAAATTGCCCCACAAAAGCTTTCTTAAGATGTGATTTGTCCTTCGAAGTACATTTTAAATTCAACTAATATTCAACATCACCATCTTGTTAAATTTGAACAAATTCCAGGTTAAGTGCTCTGTGTACATATTTGAAAACACTGCCTTAAAGGTGCACTATGCAACTTTTCAGGTAGAGGGTCTGCCACGTAATTTTCTCCATGGAGATGCTTGGAATGTTCCACAGTATTAAACTTAGTATTAAATATATCTATTTTATGTTAACTGAATTACAGGTACCGGTATATTAATTGCTCAAAAATGCCTCAAAAACATGCATTCTCATTGTCAAGGCAGCTGCGTCTCCACAGATCGGTCTTGTAGTGTCACTTGCTTGCTTCTTTGGAGATTGATATTTTTTTATGTCAAGCTGTAGAAAGTTCCAGACTAAACAAAGATATCTCCATGGAAACAAGCAGCTGGCAGACCCTCCACTAGGAAAGTTACACATTACACCTTTAATATTCACTTATGTATGAAGTAAGTCAGAAGTCAGTCTAACCTTATAATGTACGATGAGGGCAGCGCAGTCAACAGAGCCATGGGTAAACCAAAACCAAAGTAATAAGGCCAGTTTCTCTCAATATTGGAAAGGCGCTGATGCATTTCAATTCCTATGAAAAAAAAAAAAAAAAAAGAAGTCACATTATTAGATGGTGGATTCATGAGTTTAAAGCTAAAAAGAAACAACAAAAGTCTTACCGTGATTGAACCAGCGATACTCAAAGCAGTAGAGGGAGTACAGCAGGGACATGTGCAGCAGACTAACTATCTGTCCAATGGCATCAATGGGGAAGAGACTGACGATCATACCCTACAGAATAAAACAATGTCATTGATTATAATTCTAACTTCAATACATCTCTTACTGTCTTGCCTGTAAAGAACCCAGGAAGTGAATATACAAAAGATGACAAAATGAACGTTTCTGATTTCATTATAGTGCTTTTGATTCGACGATTATATAATAAAATAATAAAACTAGAGAGACCATGGATTCCATTGTTGTGGCTACTGTGGTGGCCATCTTGTGATTGTAAGACCACCAAATTATAATAGAAAATAATACAAAACAGGGCCACAAAATGAAAATAGAGGGTTTAAATTGACATTAAATGCAGGGGTGAGCAATATGGCAAAAATGCAAATCATAATTTTCTTGTAGCCAGATCATGATTTTTATTTCAACATTTTTCTACTGCCATGAAGAAGTAAATGAAGTTGTAATAATTCCTGTTATTGCCTTAAATGTAGCTGTTACTCACTCAGAGCCTTGCAATGGGTAACCAATTGGGGAAGGGAGTGGGGTAAAGCGTGTTTGAGCATATAAAGTTTTACCCTAACCCTAACTTTTCTGGTAAAGGGTCAGTCAAATGCTTTTCTCCATTGAACATTATTGCTTTGTCTGGAATGTTTCACAGTATGGTATCAAAGCTTTCTATCTTCATGGTGGCTAAACCAGACCAAGTTACAAGTCAGATTTGTGGAGAGGTGACCCCACACACAGTGAGAATTCTTGTTTTTCCAAGTATTTGGCTACAAAACCACCTGTAACTGAATAAATGTAAGAGATGTAGAGCTGTTTAATGTCATACTGTGGAACATTCCAGGCAGAGCAATGACATATCCATAGAAAACAAGCAAGTGACGCACCCCCAAAAAAAAAATAATTAAAAATTACACAAAGCGCCTTTAAATATAGAAATAGTGAATCAGGATATGACAATTTCACCAAGAACAACATAGAACTGGATGTTGGTTACAATAGGTAAAGACGATTCCTCTAGTTTTATAATGCCTTGTGCCTGAAAACAAACCTGAATGAGAAACAGAGCTTGGAGAAGGAGGTTGAAGAGCATGTCTGCGATGATCTTACTAACACTGGGAAACGGCTGAGCTTTACAACCGGACACCTCAAAGGCCAAATCAGCTATATCCTGTATCACAAACAAGAGGAAAGTAGTTAGGTATCAGTCATAAATGTATAATAAAAGTAGAGCCAAGATCAATATGGGAAGAAAAGGAACACACCTGGAACCAAATGGCATTGACGATCTTACTGAGGACAAACAGGGGGAGAACCCAGAGAGCACTAAAGACTGATGTGAGAATGAACTCTAACCAGGACCAAACACTGCCATGAAGGGAGGGGTCACCTGGGAAATTAATTAAAGTAATAATTATTAAGATCGCACTGAACAATAGGACTGCGCAATTAATCAAATTGAAATCCAGTCTAATTGTCAGTGACTGATGCAGGACTACATTCATACCATACTTTATAATACAACTGTACTAATAAATCACCAATATGTCATGTCAAAGCTTCATATTCATGTTGCAGAGCATCTCCTATTGTACATAGTCTAGATATATTTAGGCCTGTCACAATAATTACTATATCGACTCATCAGTCAATATATGAAAGTCGGAACTATATATTTTGGGGTTCAGTATTCATCGTCTGTACATGTTCTTCTTCGTTTTTTGTAATACAATATGATTCGAGCTGTAGAGTGTTGAACTAACTTGGATGGCTAGGTTCATTCATCAATTTATTTGTTGCTGCTTAGGGTTTTTAATGAGGCTGTTTATTTAAAAATGGTTTACTGGGATTATCCTGTTTTATTGTTATTGTATCAGTGGCATAAAGTAGTTTCAGTATAATTTATCGCAGTATATCCTGTCACAATATATTTACTATCTTTGCCACTTTAATTACTTAGACTTTTACTGACATATGTTTTTCTCCTTTGCTGTTATATTGTAATGTGTGAGTAACTGTGTCAGAGTAATTTCCCTTGTGGATCAATAAAGTCCTGTTTTTATTTCGTCTTAAAAAGAGAGGAAACTGAACAAACATACCAATGATTTTTGCAGTCAGTGTTTGCAGCAGTGGAATAAACACCCGATAGAAGAGAAACAGACTGAGCTGGGGAGAAAATAAAGTGTTTCAATATACCAAGCATTTATCGATCACATAAAACTGTAAATGAACTCCCATCTTACCCAGAACACTCCCCCATTCCAGGCACAACACTGAAAGATTCTGCTAGCCACTTTTGGTTCACTAATAGAAAAAAACTATTTGTTAAGATATATTATTTTGTTTTATTTCACAATTTTTTTCTTTATCTTACTTCTCAGGTTTCCGTTCTTCACTCTGTGCCCGCCTCTGTGCCAAAGCCCCACTGGCCCTTCTCCTCCGCTGCTCCTCTCTTTTCTGCTGAATGCGGGCATCCAGCTTGGAGATCGTGCCAATCCCCAGTATGGAGTCCTTGATCCCCTTTATACCCCAGAGGAAGAGACGAGCACAAGTAAATACTGTTGTAAATACTTTAAATACTTACATCATGATTCTTGAATTAAAACGTGCAATGTGTAACCTTTCTGGGTTTACCACCAGCTTGTCTCCATGGAGATGTTATTGCTCTGCCTGAAATGTTCCATGGTATGGCACTGAAATTACTAATGTTCATTAGGACAAGCCAGTGATGCCACCAGTCCAACTACAGGTCATGTCTGTGGAGAGGCGACACTGCTCACAGTAGGAATGTTTTTCAAGGCAATAATTTAATAAATGCAATTTAATGCCATGCTTTGGAACATTTCAAGCAAAGCAATACCATCTCCAGTGTGGCAGCTCACTCACCAGAAAAGGAATTATTATTGTAGTAATTGTTCACATTTACACAATATTTGGAGAGTTACATAATGCACTCAAGCCAGGCACCTCAGGAATGCATTTAGAGGTGCCACTGACCAACTGATCGATAATATTGAACATAAATGGAAATGTTTATGTTCATGTTATGCTGATACCCATCAGAGACACAAATTCTTAAAAGCATATAATGTATATGTGACTGTAATATCCACATAGACATTTGAAACAAGTTCAAGTTCATAATAAATAATTAAAAATGTATCTAAAAAGGGAAGCATGCATACATAAATGGTATATTTTTGTAGATAGTTTTGTTTTTTGTTGAGCCAATTACCCAAAAGAAGACTATATAATTCACCATTCATTGTCTCTGGACCTGCTAACAAAGTATAAATGCATACCGTCGCAACATAGCGGAGGAAAGCCCTGACGCTGTCTGTCATCTCTGGGCCAGCTGCAGATCCATCAACTGCACAAGGAAGGGGGACTCAGCACCTGGTGGTCAGCGCTCATGGCAGGAAGGGACTCACCCAGCAACCTGAAAAACAATACAAGATTATACCAGCAATTTATAAACCACTGGAGAGACAATGCTAAGATTACTTTTCATGAATATGAAATACTCTTGAGTGGTTTTGCAGACAGATAAACATGTAAGTTCTGGGTGGGGTAAGCTAAGAATGTAGTTGGTTTAATACTTTAGCTTTAGTCTTTTTGTGTGGTAACGTGAACGAGGTGACTCAGTACTTACAAACATGGAGGTGTTGTTCAATTGCTTTAGTACTAATGATCAGTAGATATTACCTTATTCTGCTCCTACAAATATATATATATATATATACTGTAGGACCAGAATTTATACATTCAATTTACATAAAAAGGGACTTTCAATATAAAGTGTATATAAAAAGGGCACAACAGTGCTGCAGACACGGTGTACAGCACTGGTTTGTTTAGTCATAGCTCGTCTGTCTGTGTTGCTAGCTAACGCCAAACAAGAAACTTAGCTACCATGTAGCCTTTAAGTGCAATATACACAGGTAGCAAACAAAAGGTTCAAGTCTATAAGATCACAGACAATAAAACTTATGTCCTATTTACCTCATGCGACAGGTCTAGTGGGTTAACGCTGTCGTTTTCCTCTTATTTGCGCTCCTTAATGTGACAACAAGAAGCAAACACTCCAAACAGCCAGGGCCGAGAAAAAACACATTGCGCAAGCTCCGAACTGGAGGATCATGGGATATGTAGTTAACCTGTTTCTTCAAGTTCTGAAAAGTGGAGTAATAATGCGGACGGTCTCACTGTAAACCGGTTTGGTGGATTCTATTTTATTTTATTATTTTTTTATTTAACTGAGGTGTAGGCAATGATATGGATAAAATTAGATATAGATACAGACTTGGCCGTCGCTTGTTTAATTTTTCTATGAAAGCGTTTGGCTAAATGTCATTTGACAAATTTAGCATTATTATTGCCGTATAACAGTATAAATAAAATAGCTTTTTATCAAAGTGGGGCTAAAGAAAGCACACTTTGTGTAAGGTGTGTTCAATTTCCATGGGAACATCCCAGGGGGCGGTGCATATTCAGCTCAGCATCAAGCGCTCAGTGTCAGATGAACTACTGTGTTGACTACTTTACTAAGAGAGAGGCCTCTCCACATCAATGGTCGTGTTTAGGATAAGAAATGTTCACAAAAGGAAATATGCACTTGTCTGTCTCTGCATTGTCGGCTTCATCATGTACAGATATCTCGGGTATGTCAGGTATTATATGTGTTAATTTTGAGAAGATTAATTATTGTTATGTTATAAGATTGTTATTGCTGATGTCTCTTTGGATATTAGGTTGACACTTTGGCATACTAGTCAGAATAATATAGACTAATGGTTATGTGTACAACATATAATATTGTTTTTATATGCAGTATTGAATCTTTCTTTCATATTGCAGTGAATATTATCAGGATACACAAATCATATTCTCTAATTGCCCTTTTAGCTTGCAATAACTGTGCATTCTGCTTCATAAGAACACAAATAAGTTTAATAGCACATTTTAAATACTTCATGTTGTGCTCAAAGCTTGTCTGCTCTGTCTGCATGTTGCTATTGAGTGTGTCATGTGGTGTAGCACAATGGCCTGTGTGAGAACTGTGTGGGCATGACACAAATAACGTAACTCACTTCTTCTCAGTGTCAGCGTGCCTACAGGACGACGGAGGATGAGCCGAAGAGTGGGACTGAATGCAAACACATCACAGTTCACATTGGAGGGAGAGCCTTTCCGCATCATTGGGGGTGCTATACATTATTTCCGCATTCCAAGAGCCTATTGGAGAGACCGGCTTCTAAAGATGAAGGCTTGTGGCATCAACACAGTCACTACGTATGAAATCTACAAATCAGTTTCAACTTTCAAATCTTACAGCTAACACAGACATGGGCATTAAACCTTTATATAAACCTAAATCAATATTCTAGGTATGTGCCATGGAGTCTACACCAGCCACAGAAAGAAGTCTTCAACTTCCAAACACAACTGGATTTGGAGTAAGTTTCTTAAATATCGCAGGAAATACATTCAATACTGCATCTATCAGGATTGCTATATTTTTTCTCATAAAAGCCACACCTCTCCAGGGAGAAAGAGCCTCAAAGTCCCACATGACAACAGGAGCATCTTCACAACACAGCCAACCTCTCCGCATTTAACAACATAACAACTAAACTCACCTGTTCTGACTAGGCATTGGCTGATATTCAAATTTTGTGTTTCAATTATCGTGACCAAAAATAATTGCGATTGACAATAATTGAATAATATCATGTTAAGTATAAACTTCCTGACAATTTAAAATGTTATGGTTATGAATAATTATAAATGTTATATTATAAGTTCCATGTTTAAAGAACTATTAAAGAAATTAAGTGAAAACAAGAACAGTCTGAAGTCATGCATAAATAGGTTGTATCTTTGTTGGCGTTTATCATGATTATACAAAATGTACCACGAATGATTATTGTCTAGCCTTTTTATCACAATAACAATATTCTTGACATGGGCGTATTTTAGCAACTGTAAACAGAGAGATGGGGGTCTCTTTAGAAATCAGGATCTGTGTTGGAAAATGTGTTAGCTGATTTATGCTTTGTTTGGATTTCAGAGCATTTTTGAACCTTGCGGCCGAAATGGGAATGTGGGTGATTTTGTGTCCTGGGCCTTACATTTCATCTGAACTGGATCTCGGAGGGCTGCCAAGGTAACAGTCCATATATCAGACAGTGGGTTTTAAAACTGATGCTGAATATACAAGTCTAGCGGTGAGCAATATGCCAAAATTATGCAGCTAGTATCTTTATATAGCCTATGTTCCAATAAGTAAAGCTACATGTTGCTTCTGTGAGTTCATGCTTTACTGTGATTGGTTAAATCCATCTCTCAGAGTATAACAGAGGCTGACGAGAAGGAAGTATGAGGGGGAAAGTGACTGTGTCAACATACTGCCAGCCCTACATATGTATGTGTATATATGTATATGTATATATATATATATATATATATATATATATATATATATATATATATATATATATATATATATATATATATATATATATATATATATATATATATATATATATATATATATATATATATATATATATATATCCATTTATTTCTCAAACAAGAAAGTGTTCTTGTGGGGGTTAAAGCAAGCTTAATTATTATTATGAAATGAATCAAACAAATTATACTTCCTCACAAAGCGACTATGTGTTTTACTCATAGACTATATAGAGAGATAATTTTCCTTTTCATCCCTTTTTTTCCTACTTTTTTCTTTTTTATTTAGCTTGCAACATACAACAAGAATACAGACATTAGGCAGGACAATACAACACAGTAGACTTAGACAAACTTTACTCATCCACAAGGGAAATTAATTGAAAAGTACAATACAATACAGCACTACATCTTATAAATTTTTAAGTGCGTGTAAGAAAGTATGGAGGTTCACTATCAGCAAATACATATGATTTTTTTTTTTACAATAAAGTTGACCAAGATTTTGTTTTCTGAAAAAGCATTTTGATTTCTCTTCTTTCACAGCTGGCTCCTCAGAGATGACAAGATGAAACTCAGAACAACATATGCAGGTTTTTCTGAAGCTGTCAATGTTTTTTTCAACAAACTTATTCCTAAGTTAGTACCATTGCAGGTAGGTGTTTCTCTACAACTCCAATTTACCAAAAAAAAGTGTTATCATAAAAATATAACTCTTTCTGTTTACTTTGTTGAATTACTTTAACTCACAAATGTTTTTTGTGTTATATTTCTTTACAGTTCAAAAAAGGAGGTCCTATTATCGCTGTACAGGTTGAAAATGCATACGGATCATTTGCCAAAGATGATAGTTATTTAAATTTTATAAAAGAGGTAACTGCTATTGGTGTACATGTTGTTTTATTTCATCACACAAATATTTTAAATGATTATATTATTTTTGTTTGGGCATTAAGGCTTTACAAACTAGAGGAATAACTGAGCTGCTACTTACATCAGACTCTTCCAACTCTTTAAAGTTAGGAAGTGTGAATGGAGGTACAAAATAATAATCATAATTCTTTATTAACGTTCATATTAACATTCTATTGTGTTTTATGATCCTGATTTTGGTCATGTAGCTTTAAAGACGTTAAAGTTACAGAAGCTGAACTGGAGAGACATTCAGGACTTAACTGCCTTACAGGTTTGTACCAGTCTTAAAGGTGCACTATGTAACTTTTTGGTTGGGGATAAGTCAAATGCTTGTTTCTGTGTCACTTCTCTGCCGGAAATGTTCTACGGTATGGCATTAAACAGTTCTGCCTTACATTTATTCAATTGCAGGTGGTTTTATAGCTCAAAAAAATCTAGAATAACAGACATTCTGACTGTAAGCGGGGTTGCCTCACCACAGATCTGACCTGTAATTTGGTCCGGTTTGGTCTCTGTGAAGATAGAAACATTTAATGATATACTGCAAAATGTTCCAGACAGAGCAATATCACCTCCATGGAGAAAAGCATTTGATGGACCCTCCACCAGAAAAATTACACAATGAAACTTTTACAATAATTAAACTCTCATGCTCTTCTTTCTTTTACTGAGCTATTTCAGATCAATTTTGCAGTTTACAATGAACAAAATGTAAAATGTTGATCTACTGTGTGTTATTTTATGTTACTAAATACTAGAAAAAGTGTAATATGTCATCTTTAAAGGTGCACTGTGAACTTTTTGGTTGGGAATCCGTCACCTGCTTGTTTCTTAGCTATGTCATGGAATGTTCCATAGTATGCCTTTAAACAGCTCTACTTTAAATGTATTAAACTGCAAGTGCTTAGAAATATCTATCAATAAAAACAGAGCATTCTGACTGTGAGCGGGATCACCTCTCCACAGATCTGACCTGTAAATTGGTCTGGTTTGGCCTTCGTGAATGTAGAAAGGTTTAATACCAAAACATTCCAGACAAAGCAATAACATCTCCTTGGAAAAAAAGCATTTGACAGACCCTCCACCGGAAAATTACACAATGCATCTTTAATGATGTTTTCCTGCTTTTTCAGCCCAACAGCCCTACAATGATAATGGACTACTGGACTGGCTGGTATGATGCCTGGGGTGAGCTGCATCATATTCTACCACCAGAAGGTAAGAAATGTACAGATATGGATAATAATTAAATGACCCATAGACTTGTACAGATTAAGCCCACTAACCCTTTTTATAAACATATTCAAATGTGTGTTAAATTCACTCTACTCAGGCCTGTGCAGCTGTTATAATGGCCTTTTTCCAACCTCAAGTTTGTATTGGAAAACACATGCAAATATTGTATGATGTAAATTTCTAGTTTGTTTTTCCCATTGGAAGTTTTAAATGTTTAATGGTTGTTATTTCAGTCTAAAATATGAACAGGTAGTAAAGAAATAAAGATTTTCTACCAGGGCTGCACAATATCTTATATTTCAGTTGGTGCAATTATCAAATCTTGTTGTTTAAGTCTTTACAAAATGTTCTGAATTATTGTATTAGTTTATCACTTCATATTTCAGTCTTCACTCAAATGTTAAGGGTGATTGTGTAACTCTGGACCTCTAGTGGAGAGTCTGACAAATGATTTTCTCCATGCAGATGTTATTGCTTTGTCTGGAATGTTTCACAGTATGGTATTAAACCTTTCTATCTTCATGGAGACCAAACCACACCAAGTTACAGGTCAGATCACAGTCAGAATGCCTGTTTTTCTAGGTAATTTTGAGCTATATTATATTCAATAAATGTAAGGTAGAGCTGTTTAATGCCATACTGTGGAACATTCCAGACAAAGCAATAATCTCCATAGAGACAAACAGGCAATAGGCCCTCCACCAGAAAAATTGCGCAATGCACCCTCAATGCTCTGAAGTTGTTTACAATGTGAACATAATCTTACTTTTTTCATTTCATTTATCTTCATTTCTACAGGAAGAGCCCAGTGCGAGTGCCAGACTCTTTTTCATGAGTGCCCTGTTTAACAATTCAAACAAAGTAAACAAAACTATAACAACAACTGCATAGGTCCATTTAGAACACTAAAAACAGGTGCAGGTGTGACTGTAAATGTATATCACCAGATTATTAAAATGCAGTAGTGGCACCGATGTATCCAGTTTTGCATGTCTTTGAAATGTATTACATGTTTCTAAAGCAAAATAACTGAACTGGCTTTTGTTCCCATTTCAGTTCTAGTGCAGAGAGTTTTTAGAAGTAAACAATCACAAGATCTGGTATTAAAAGTTCCCATCAGTTCAGCAAACATGTGAGATATTGACACTTTTCAGTTGATGTCATAAACATGTCCTTGGGGTATGATGCTAACTGGTTTTATTAGACTTTAATCAGACTTTATTTTAACACAATCTGACCATAAAGAACTGACTTAGCTGGAACTGATTGCTCACAGGCCCTGAAAATGTTTTTTTTTGTTGTTGTTGTTGAGTTCAGTTCAGTGTAGCTAAAGGTTTCAAAGTACAGAACGAAAGGTAGCTTGAACAATTTCTTTTCTGAAATTCAATGAGATACATGATTTGTTTCTAAACCTACATTTGTTTTTAAAGGTTTCATCTTGCATTATTTTCTGGAATATTTTATAATCTTTCCTCATCAAAATATGCCTGGAGTTGTGTTTTGTTTCCGTCACATGTTTAACCCACAAACAATCTTTTCCACCTTGTGATGTCATGTGGTAATACAGGAAACTCCATACACCTTCACTAGAATCATCTAGACCATTTCATCCCTGGAACTGTCAATCTCTACTAAACGAACGGTAAAGGGCAACTGTTATCTTGAAAACTAATTTTATGAGAGCACAAGGTGGAACAGATCATTCTGAGCTTCAGAAATGTAAACAGGCTTATAATAAAGGATTACTCAAACGTGTGAATGGAACAAAACATAACTCCAGGTATGGTTTTGATGAGATTACAATGTTCGAACATGGCTATTATAGGATCTTTAAACTTTTATCACAAATTGAATCCCAATTGCAATACTTGTCAGAAAAAAATGCTATTATTTTCTACCATAAACAGCTGTAATTTCTATGTGCTGTTTATTGACTTTTTACAGATATGGTGTCAACTGTGAGGGAGATTTTAAGGCGGGGAATGTCCGTCAGTTTGTATATGTTCCATGGAGGATCTAGTTTTGGTTTTATGAGCGGAGCCTTGGCTGATCCCACTTACCGAGCTCTGGTCCCCAGCTATGGTGAGTTACATTCAAAAGTATTCTCTCTCGTGATATGAGCAATAAAGTGTTTCCCCTTAAAAGACTATGAAAAGACTATGATAGGCCCACATTGTGTAATTTTTTGCCACCATATTCTGAAAACAAGCTGAATATTAATAATGCAAATTGGCTAATTTATGGTATTACACAAAATTGTTTACACAGCAAATTCAAGTGTTAATTCAACTCGTATATCATTAATTTTAACACTTTTACCATGTCACATGGGGTCCACAATAAAATGAGTTAAAACTACACTTTCCAAAGTGTAGAAGGCTCAACACTGGTGAAGTGATGTAACCACACTCCTCATAGCTAAATTTGACACTGATTAAGATTTGATTTTTTTTTTTTACACTAGTATATAGTGAAAAACTAATAACTCTATATTGCTATGTTTTACTTTATGAAGTAGAAATAATGTAGAGTGTTCTTCATGTAACACTATGCAATAGTAACTCTTTCTTCACAAATACACTGTAAATTCTGTGGTCATTCTAGTTCATAATCCCTTTTACAAATGTAAAATAATGAAAACCACCACAAAATTTAATTTCAACTTAACTTATATTAAAACAATGCACATCATACAATCAGCACAATTTAAACAAGTCATATGACACAATACTATTTTTGCAAAATCCAAGTGACAGCAGGAATTCTCTGTGCCCTCAGCAGTTGGTCACAATGATTGTCATTTACTTTTTTAAAGTTGATTTTTCAATGCAAGCAGTCGATGGATGAATCAAGATCTTGTTTTGAATGGAATTCAGGCTCATCTCCAAAAATGAGAGGAGCATGTCTGACTGTTTGAAACAAGATCTTCTCTCCATTATATAAAAATAACAATGTTCACATTAGAGGCAGTCCTGCTAATTATGAAACATTAACATTGCAGAAACTTTTTACCTCAAGAGTCAGTCTTTCACTCTTGAGGTTTCTTTTGACACATCCAGTGTCCGTGTTGTAGACAGTTCTTTGAATACAGGTGTAAGGTTTGTAAGAGTCTGAGGACCAAGTGCCTTGAAGTGTTCACCAAATTCAGCCAGGTCAACAATGACATAAAAGCCTTTGTCCTTCCCACTTCAGTCACTGGTAGAAAGGCCGTCCAGGCTCAACCAGCAAGAAATGTGTCCATACCGATCTGTAAAATAAAATATAGAATAGAAAAAATATAACATATTCAAGTAACAACCTTGCAAAACAGGCTATACAATATTTAATGAGCCATGAATAAAAATTAAAAAGTAAATATATAGTAAATATATTATGGTGCATATATCATTATTTGTTTGTTCCTATTTAGCAGGTTATTCTGTTGCATAAGGTGTATGTTTTTGTACACAGGAACCATTCAACTAAATAACTTGAAGGGTAATTTGAAAACAATTTGCCCCTTAGAAAAGATTATTTTTAAATGCAAGACCCACAAGAAACAAAACACCTAAATGCCATTAATCACAAAAATAGAATGAGATTAAGGCAAAAATTACAACTACTTAGCACTTAACCATTTCATGACATACCGCATCTTTCCATTGTGGCCTTTAGGAGTTGGGGATGCATGTGAACCAGCAGCAAGACACTCATCCTAAAGAAAATACAAAAAAAGAATGTAGGTCATTCCACGCCATTTCACCAAATGGCTCATGCACTTCGATCTCAAAAATGTTTGAAAAAAATACCAAATAGTCCCTTACTATCATGTACCAACCCTGTGAAGTTTTAGTGATTTTCGATCACTCCTTTTCAAGTTACAGCTCATTTAGTGAGGGGAGTATGTGTCAATTTACGGGTCCAAATCACATTATTTTTTTCTTGGCCGTTTTCACAGGTCGATATCTCTGTAAGTATCACACATAGAGGGCTGAAATTTTGTAGGCTTGTAGTCCTCTACTCTGTGTTCAAATAACATCTATCAAAAGTTTGGTATTGGAGTTTTTTTTTATTTTTAAGTTCATATAAAATGACAATGTGTTGAGATACTAAACCTCCCATAGATGTTTTTTGAACATACATTTATTTCAATAGAGCTGATGTTGAGGTCTTACTGAAGTGTAATATCCTTTACTCACTGTAGGGGGCTGTGTCTTACTGTATATGTTTTTCAGACTATGACGCTCCATTGTCTGAATCTGGGGAGTACACACCAAAGTACCATCTGCTCAGGGATCTTCTTTCTCGCTATAGTAGTAAGTCAAAATACAAACAAAATAGATATAAAATTAAGATGCACCGTGTAACTTTTCTGTTGGAGTGCCTGCCATCTGCTCGAGTACGTGGAGATGTTATGCTTTTTCATAACCCTATTTTGATTTAAAAAAAACAACAACACAAAACGAATTACAGGTGTTTCTATTGCTCAAAAAGATCTTGAACAACATGCATTCATACTGTGAGCGGGTTCACCTCTCCACAGCACTGACTTGTAAATTGGCCTGTCAGTTTTACCTGCTCGTCTCTGTGAAAATGAAAAGCTTGCCATACTCTTCATTCTAGGCACACCAATAATGACTGAGATATAGAGACAAAGAGGTGGCACAAAAGAAATGTTACATTACACCTTTAATACATTTTTTTATTTGCTCAAAACCAGATTCCGTAACTTGGCCTGTTCGTGTCACCTGCTTGTCTCCATGGACATAAATTGCATTAATCCTATACTGTGGAACATTCCAAGCAACACGTTAACATCTCCATAGGGACAAGCACTAAAACATTACATAGTGTATAGGGATGTAACAATATCCAAATCTCTCGGTACAATTATAATCTTATAATCATACAATAATTATCATGATGTGCATCTCACGGTACGATATTTACTGCGATATTTTGAAGAGGCTAATCTAATTGCTTTAAAAATACCTTGGCAAGATTTTGGTGTGGATTATTTCCATCATAATCCCAAGAATTCAAGTAAAAATCATATCTCTTCATGTTGTTTGCACTGAAATTAATCATGGGATATGTAGTTCCCTATGTTTATAAGCTGTTGCTACTATAAAACAATGCATTTAAGCAAAGGAACTTGTAAGTCGATATATTGTGACAGCCCACGATATTATTGTGAGACGTCTGACAATATGATATCACGATATTTCAGTTATTGTTACATCCCTAATAGTGTACCTTCAGCGGTATTTTCAGCAGTTACTTATGTGACTCTTTGAGCAGATGGAGAGCCTTTCCCAGACATGCCCACCTTACATTACAGAGAGGCATATGAACCTGCCATTATGTACCAGCACCTGTCGCTATGGGATGCTCTGAGCTTCACTGAAGGGGTAGAGTGATTTATGCTGTTTGTACAGTTTGTCTAGGAGGAATAATAAAGTTTAATTTCATTTTGTCTAAAGCCGTTCAAGTCACACAAGCCAGTAAGCATGGAGAACCTCCCAGTGAACAGTGACAGTGGACAGGCGTTTGGCTACACTCTGTATGAAACCACTATAACGACTGGGGGAGTACTGAAATCTGCAGATAATGTACGGGACAGGGCCCTGGTAAGTCTTCTGTCTTTACTGTATTATGTATCTATTGCTCTTTTGACTGTTAATTTTTGTTGTGTAAAGCTTCTTTGAGTGTCCAGAAAAGCGCTATATAAATAAAATCTATGTATGTATGTGTATGTATTATTAGACTTTGACTTCGACAAACTTTATTGATCTACAAGGGACATTACTTGGACACAGTAGCTCACACATCACAATATATTATAATAACAAAGAGTAAAAATATAAATGATAATAATAAATTCTAAAAAAAGGAGCAAAAAAGATAGCAAGAGACTGGTGTTAAATAAGGCATAATTGTATAAAATATATATATGTGCTGTGAGTTTTGGAATTTATGCAGAAATTTTTGACTAAAAGCTATTGAAAAAAAAAAAACTGTAACGTGACGGTGACTGTGACTGTGTGCTGGGATCAGTTTTGATTCTCTAACACAGGGGTCTCCAACCTTTTTCCTCCTGTGAGCTGCCTTTACAAAAAGAAAATACCAGAGAGTTTCTCATTTTAGCAATCCCAAGAAATTCAAAATATAATCATGGAAAGCCTTAGGTGGGATACAGTTAGATGCCTATAAAACATAAACCATTATACATTTATTTGCACACACAAAGTTACACATCAAAATGACAAATTTATAAAGGTAGTTAATCAAATTTTAGTTAGCACAGTACATATAATTTAGCAATCCCTTGGTGAGCTACTTGGAAGGGGGTGGAGAGCTACAAGTTGGAGAAAGAAGTGTATTTATGTATGTAACCTTTATTTAGGCAGATTGATTGAGAACCAATTCTCATTTACAATCTAATCAAAACACGACAGTGATGAATGTAAATTGAGCCCATTCAAACGTGTCTATTAACTAATGGAGAATCTAATCATGAAATATGAGGTCTATTTCAAATATGAGTGATTAATATACTGTTTGTAGTTCAGACAGTCGTGTATTTATTCAGATTTTCTTTCCAGGTATTTGTGGACAAAATCTACATTGGTCTTTTCAAGCGTCAAACTCAGGAGCTAGCAGTTTCTGATGGGCAGGTATGAAATCAAAACTTTCTATTCATTCTATTCTGTTTTAATTCGGATGTAAAATTCACAATGCAGGGCAAAAGAACTCTGAGTTTTTATTGGTGGAAAACTGTGGACGCGTTCACAAGGGTAGGGACCTGGATAAACAACATAAAGGTGATGGACAGACATTATGCAGTGTTATGCAGTTACTTGTTATATTAAATCAAGCCTGTGAAGCTGTGAGTCAACATTGATTTGTGTTTCTTCCAGGTCTAGTGGGGGATATTTTATTAAACAATATTCCCTTGAGGGACTTCACAATATACAGCCTGGATATGAAGCCCGCTTTTATTGATAGGTTTGGGCAGTTTATTGCTTTCAGAATGAGCTAGATCGCGTTTATTTATTTGTGATGGTTTTGATTGCTTTGTTTCAGTCTCTAATCAGGCGCCATGGAAAACTCTTTCTAAAAATCCCAGCTTTCCCGGGATTTTTCATGGGGAAACTCTTTGCGTACGGATATCCAAGTGACACTTTTGTGAAATTAACGGTAAGTCATATAAAAGCATGAAGAAAGACTTAAAGGTGCATTGTGTAACTTTTCTGGAAAGTCCGACAAATGCTTTTCTCCATGGAAATGTAATTGCTTTGTCTTCATGGAGACCAATGTAGACCAAGCGACAGGTCAGATCTGTGGATAGGCAGTCCCACTCACAGTGAAAATTCCAGTTTTTCTAGGTATTTTTGAGCTATAAAACTGTTTAATGTCATACTGGGGAACATTCTAGGCAGAGCAATGACATATCCATAGAAACAAGCAGGTGACAAACCCCCAGCCTGTTTTTTTTCCAATTAAAAAAATACAATATTTAGTCTGAAACCCATGGACATCAGCAGGATAGATATTAGAATTACCTTTTGTGTATTATCAGTAAAAGATAATAATTGTCTTTTGCGGTCTATGATATGACATCAGTAAGAAGAATGTAACTCTAATCTGTATAATTATGTATTTTCAGGGCTGGGAAAAGGGAGTGGTGTTTGTCAATGGGCTGAATCTTGGCCGTTATTGGTCGATTGGTCCCCAGCAGGCTCTTTATCTCCCAGGGCCCTTTCTCAACAGCGGAATCAACCAGGTAACCAGCTGAAAGCAACCAAAACTAGTACAATAAGGCTGCACTTGCACAATCAAACACAATCAACAACATCAAAATTGGGACTAAAACTGGGAATAAACCTGGAACTAAGCCTGTACTAGACCAGGACGAAACCCAAATCAGGACTAAACCAGGACCCTTTTATTGTATTGTGTATGGTATGACAACAAGATTTCTCTAACCTCAATTTGAATGGACACAATTAGCTAAATTAGCAAACAAAACCTCCACTAACAATAAAATCTCCTATCTTATCCTGCGTGAAACTACTAACTCTGTAGTTTAGACACAAACATGTTCTGAAATGTGATTCTTGTATTACTTTATCAGTTTATTTTTCAGTCTTTTTGTCAATTCCGCTGGAGGTGTTTAAAACATGAAAAATGTAAAACGCAGACAGATTCCAATGAGATATTTTCCCCACATTGTTCAGCTCTAGTGCATGACTTTGATGAAATGTGTTTATTTATTTATATTTCATTTCATTTTGAAGGTGATTGTGTTTGAAGAGCAAGAAAGTGACTACAAGGTGCAGTTTGAGGACACCCCTGATCTGGGCATGGCAGCGGAAATCCAATGAACTTCACACCGTTAAAAGACAGGCAGCTTTATTCATTTCGGACAAATTTTATATTTACATACATTTACACACATTTACATACAGTACCTGCAGTTACTCCAATACCATTCCCTGTTGTGGATCTATCTCACGATAAAGCTACACTATGTAACATTTACCTTAATAATCAGAAAACCATAATCTGAAATTCTTTTGTCTTATTTATTCATATTTTACTGGGATAAAAAATATGGAAAAGTTTGGTTATTTCTCATGTAACCTGACTGTATATATTTAGGCTTACTGATATTTAGGCTTATTACTTGAGTTTGTATCTGAATTTCCAATATACTGTCTCCTAACTTTTCTGGTGGAGGCTCTCTGCTTTAACTGGAATACTCCACTCGATGGCAACAAAAAGCAATGTTATAGTTCAGGGGTTTCAATTATAAAGTGGGCGTATGTACAAAAATGTTACTCACACAATTTTTCATGTTAAATTTGCAATCTAGAAAATGTGAACTTAAAGGTGCACTGCACAACTTTTCTTGAGGAGAGTCCACTACCTGTTTGTCTCCATGGAGATGTTAGTGTTTTACCTGGAATGTTCCACGGTATTACATTAATCATATCCATCTAGCATTTATTCATTGCAGGTGTTTCTGTTGTTCAAAAATACAATAATTCCTTTTGTGAATAGGGACGGCTCTCCACAGATCTAAACTGTAATGTAGTCCAGTAACCTCCCTCTTGAAAGGCAGGTTTCAAGTTTAAGTTTAAAAAGTTTATTGTCAATTCTTCATATGAAAAATATATAAAGAATTTAAATTGTGTTTCTCACTTCCATGTGTATAAATAAATAATACAGTTTAAATAGGCTTAATCTAAACTGTGGAACATTTGTAGACAAAGCAATAACATTTCCATGGAGACAAGCAGGTTGCGGATCGTCCACTAGAAAAGTCACACAATGCACCTTAAACGGGCTGTCCCAAAATTTCAGAACTTAAGGCATCAGGATTTTCAGAGATGAGACAGAAAGAATAAATTGGCAAGTTTGAGGAAGTTTGTGGAAATTTCTGTTTTGTCCCTGTGTATAGTTTTAATATTAATTCCAAATAAAGATCTGTGGAGGAGTGACCCCCACTCATTGGAAGAACACATGTATTTCAGGGTTTTAGGGAACATTCCAAAGCAATACCTATGGAAACAAGCAGGTAGAGTAAAAGTTCCATAGTGCACCTTTAATGTGTCTTACAGTTGTCTCACTCTATAGCAGCAGTGTGATATCAGTTCAATTACTCGTCAAAGAAGTTACATAGTGTGGCTTTACTTATTTTCCCCAGTCTACTGAGTGAGATGTGTGAGTACTTATTATTAAATATGTTAAACGCTCAAAACTATGAGAGACAGAGGGGAAGTGAAAATAAAAATGTGATAGCTTTTCTTTAAAAGTCAAAGGCTGTGTAGAAATCTGTCACATTAAAACATATCTTTTTGTATTTTAACATTCTGGGTCAAACATTTGCATCTGTAAGCACTGTTATTGTGAATCTATTAAATCATCAGTTTCTGAGCAGACGCGAGGGTGACAATAATTGCTCTTAAACAGCTACTAGAAAGAACCAAGTGGACTATTTAAAACCTTATATGGACTTCCACATATTCAGGCGCAATAGAACAGTTATGTAATCTATATGTGATCTATAGGATGTGTAGTAGTCAGTTACATTTACTTGTTACTTTTCTCAGTAGTTTCCAGACACTTTGTTTGTGCTCCTAGCTCAGCAATAGATTTTAAAGTACTCTTATTTGAGTAGAAGTTTTGGTTACTCTTCCCCTGTGAATAAGTCTGCAAGTGGTAAAGACATTATCTTGACTAAATGATTTGATCATTTGTGTCTTGCGACGCTCCTTCAGGTATGATTTTAGCTTGTCCTTAGAAAATACCACTTTTTAAAATTTACATTATTTAAAGTTTTGTCCTTCCAACTACATTAAGGTCCAATGATGGCTCAGATGTTACGCCCGGATAGTTACTCTTACTTAAATAGTAGTTTTTTTATTCTTTCTCAATTTCTTGGATGACTACTTCTGCTTCAGTGATCATAATTTGAGATAACTAGAGCACAAATTTTGGTTTCTCTACCCAAGTAGCTCTAAAACGTTTGACACCAAGTACTACCACAGAATGTAAATCAAGTCTGTAACAGGACTATTCTAGGTCTAACCAGGGCTAAACCGGGTCTAAAATAGGGCATGTTCACTGTAGTTCTAAACAAGAAATTATCCAAAGTAGGACATTAAATAAATTAGTCAAATCTACCTCCTGAAGAATACATGTACCAGAGTTTGAGAAACACAGCTCCAGCCACCCTATTGATCCCAGTGTACCCTATACATCATAACACGGAGCTTGTTTGTGCGTGCTAGTACATCATGTGTTTTGGCTGCTGCACATGTGAATATAGATGTGTAAGGCTTCTATAAGTACAGCATCTCATTAGTGCAGCCTTTCTATAGTTTTTTGTTGTACAGTAGACTGATTCAGATCCTCCAGTGCTGGTTCTGAATCGTTTATTACAAGAGCTCTTTCATAGTGCGTGCTGCCTTGTGCTACCCTCTGAACAACAAAAGCCCAGTCTATGATGTCCGCGGTATCAGGGCATGTTATTGCTTTCAGGCTGCAACAGTTAGATCTCCTCTTCTCCTTTGTCCCAGAAAACAGATATAGTGCCCCCTGTCTGAGCGCTGCTGGGACGACATTGGGGTCGGTCCACTCCTGAGGTTGGTGTGAGCTTAGCTCTGTCTGCAGACGGACAGGTGGTCATGCGTTTCTAAGGACGTGCAAATAGAGCTGCTGCTGTATCTGCACCTGTCCATGGTTTTGTGCAGCTCTGGCTTTCAATGCCAAAGCACACGGAGAGGTAACACTCACTGTAACACAAATACACATGCAGAGATTAATAAAATACTGTTAGTGCTCACCCGGATTACAGATAAGTTATATGAGAAACGGGTGCTCACCAAGGTCCTTAAAGGGCAGATATTTAAAGCTCCCAAATTAAGCTACTTTCTGATTTATGTTATAATGTTGTTTCCTAATCAAAACATACCTTAAATTGTGTTTTGTTTCATTCACACATGTTTAACACAAACCCTGTATTTTTAAGCTCAATCGTTCTCTCTAACAGAAAACAGATGTCATGTGGTAATACAGGAAGTGCTCCACTGTGTTTTTAAACTCTGTAAATCTTCACTAGAATCATGTGGATCATTTCAGCCCTGGTGTGAACACAAGTCCAGGTATGTTTTTGATGAGGTAATAACATTCTAACATGGTTTAAAGCTCAGTAGAGTCAATTTAGCATAGAATAGGACCTTTAATAGACAAAAAAGCAAGAGGTCTGAGGCTCTTTAAAAGTTTGCTTTATATACACCAACACATTTCAGCTCACATATCAGGCTAGAGATTATTTGGTTAATCGATTATCAGGGCTATTCTTGTCAAAATATAATTGTTTTAAAAAAAAACTTAAATGTTATGTGATGAATTCAGAAGCAAAATTATGTAATATCAACTCTATGCTAATGTAATGACCCTTTTTATCTGATTGTGTCTATGCAGTATAAACTTAACTTTATCATTCAGAAAGTTTGATTTCATAAAGCTGGTCACACGCTAAAGAAAATGTGGTCATTTATTACACAATGACTGCCTTTCCTTGCACACTCAAAATCAAATTATTTTATTATCTGATTTCTGGAGCTAAAAGATGAAATGTAAACAACAACATCATTTGATTTCTGTCAAGGTCACTCTGATTATTCATATCTGATTGTATGTATATGTATCAGATCTTGGTGAGTTTGTAACCACGACCACGATGAATAAAAGTAAATTAAGGATTTAAGGAGGTCATGGAGCTGTGAATAATTGTGACATTTTGATATTTCCTCACCAATAACTGTATAAAGAAATGGACTAAGGGAGTGTGAAATCACCCATAGTGTTTCAGTCAAATGAAACTCATGAGTTATAGGAGCGAATTTGGTGTTGAGTTCCATATTAGGAATAGTTTTTTTTTTTTTTTTACGGACAAAATACCAAACTAAAAACATTAGGATCAGGTGGAGCAGCTTAATATATGATAACATTTTAAGATGAAAATGACGAGGCTCACTGCAGCAGTTACATTGAGAGGTGTGTCAAGTTTCAGTGCAAAGTCATTTGGAGCCAGAAGTGCCCCCATGCTGACTTCCTATTGGAACACAGCAGCTTATGGGTTAGCTATGTCCATTTATAGTCTATGTTCCTCACACAATAATCGTAACACTAAAATTATATATTGTGACAAACTAAGCAGCAAAATCTCCTAGATTCCTTCCTTTTCCTGTACTGCTGTGCTCTTGGTTTATGTGTTAAATGCATTGTTAAGGTCAGACTCGTGTGTCACTGTGCCCATATCTTTTTGGTCCATCTCCCAAAATAATGACTTGAAGGCGCTGGGGTAATTTGCATTTGTGAATGTGTTCGCACCTGTGTCAGATGGAGGCTGTCATATCTCCACGTTCACATCAGTAAATCCTTTCTTGCCCTCATTCACCAGCACTGGCTTCTCTGTCCGTGTGTGCCATACTAAAATCTGCAGGAAGATGGATTTAAGGGAGACAAATAAATGCATGCATAAGAAATATAAAGGGTTTACATGAAGCTTTAGACAAAGCTTTAGATAAAGCTTTAGACGTAGTTGCTTTGTCTTGAATATTGCAGTTTGGCATAGTGCTTTGGCAGGTGCTTTTACTGATATAAATATATACATATGCATTCTTACTGTCACTGCAAGTTGATCAGATATGGCACTACCTGCTTGTACATGAAGATATATATGTTTAATGCCATACTGTGCAACATTCAAGGAAAAACATAACATCTCCAAAGAGACGATGTACAGCTTTACAATAGATCTATTTCTGATCTATGCTATCATGTCATTTCCTCAGGAAAAACATACCTGGAGCTGTGTTTTATTTCATTCACATATGTTCAAAACACAAACCCTGCATATTTAGGCTTTGCTCAAACAGAAAACACTCTGTTCTACCTTGTGATGTCATGTGGTAATACAGGAAGTGCTCCACTGTGTTTTTAAACTACATACACCTTCATTAGAATAATTTGGATAATTTCAGCCCTGGAATTGCCAATCTCTACACAACAAAAGATAAACTGTAGGCGGAACAGAGCATTATGAGCTTTGGAGATTTAGAAAAACTAATAATGCAAGATTACTCTTTGAAGCCAAACACAGCTCTGGGTATGTTTTAGAGGAGGTAACAGCATTATAACATGGCTTAAAGCTCACAAGAGCCAATTCCACATAATATAGAACTTTAACTTCACAGTAAAACTCAAAATATAAAACGGTGACGCTGAGTTATGCTTCTCTCACCTTGGTGCAGTTTGCAGCTTTAGGCTCCAGGTCGCCGAGGGTAACCAGCTCCTTTAATAGGCTGCTCTCCTGATAGCCTCCCTTCACTCCTCTCAGTTTGAAATAGGCCTGAGGTTTGGACAGGATGAGGCGCAGGTTGATGGCAAAGCCGGCCATGTCGATGGCAAAGGGCCGGTGAGGGTCAAACACAGTTTTCCAGCCAAATACTTTACCCAGAGAGTTCACTTTAGGAGACTCATAACGAAGTCCCCCCACAAAAGCTACAGGCCACACTGACACCTTCTTAGTGGAGCGCATCTGAGGACATGGACACAAGCAGAGGGGTAGAGGAGACAAAAATAGTACTTAGACAAGAGAAGCATTACATTAAAATATCATTACAACTAAAAAGTAGTGACCCATACATAACATATATACTCATGTAAGAATAAAAAGTATTTGTGGAAACTTGAGTAATGAATATTAGTAATATATTAGTTTATTCATAAAATTTATTTAAAATATCATTTAGTTAATGTATTAGAAATTAACGCAAAGGGACAGGCACATTTTCAAAAACTAGGCACAAAAAAACACAAAAACAAGTCATATGTGACGGTAAGGTGCAAGAAGTTCAACAGTTCATTCATTCAGTTAATTTAATATTGTCTTAACTTCACTTGAATCCTTTTAGACTTGTTCATGGTGGGAAGAGTAAACAAACTCAAGTAAGACTACTGTTATTCTAAACAAAATAAAAAATAAGGGTAAAAGTTGAGTTATAAAACTTTTTTTCTACAATTTTTTTATGTAATTTTTTCTACAATTTCTTGATGTTACTGCATGTTCCTGAGCGCAACCCACCTCTGCATTTAGTTATATATTTAGTTTTAATACCTATTGAATCTGATTATTGTTCAGTAACATGTATTTTGTATTTTGTTTTGATGCTTGCTCTTGTAACTGCTGCTGTCTCTCATCTCTTTGCCTAACCTCTTCAAAGAGCTCCAGGCTGTACGTGTTGTCGTCATCTGCGAAATAGACCACCCCAGGCTGGCTGCTGTTGGGGTTCAGGGTTTCACGGAGCCAGCGGAGAGCCAGGTTCCTCTGGATGGTGCCACGGGGTATTCGGGGGTCCCTGGTGTCCCCTCGCACCTTGTAGTTCCGGGGGGTCTCAACACTCAGATGGGTGAAGTTCAGACCAGTATCCTGCAGGAAGCGACTGACCAGTTTAGTCTTCTTCTGGGCGTCCTCCACCAGGATCCAGTGCAGGTTGGGCACATGGAGCAGCGTGTTGGCGAGGCGCGTGAGCTCAGCCTTTTGCACAGGCCGGCTGTAGGTGGGGGTGACCACGTGGAGGGTAGGGAGGGCATCAGACCAGGGTGGGGGGCGAGAGTACACATACTCTGTACGCACCACCTCCACAATGCCACGGCCTGGAGAGGAGCAGTCCTTATAGATGAAGGTGTTCCTCGAGCGACCACTGACTCTGTCATCTGTGGGAAGATATTTTAAAATGTTTTATAGATGCAATTTGAGACTGTGTGATTCTCCCTGACAGATCCTCAACAGACTAATAGAACAGTCTTTAAAGGAGCACCACTAACTTTTCTGGTGGGGAATCCAGCACCTGCCTCAACGATAGAGAACTTTATTGTCATGTGGAACAACCCATCCCCAGCTAATGCACATGACACACATGATATGTGTAGTACTTTGAACTGAGCTTTGAAGATCACAACAGCAGAATAAGCAGAGTAATTAAACTTTTGTTTCCAAATCCAGTTGAGAGAAAAATACATATTTTCTGTCCACAAAAGTGTTTTGCAAAAACAGAATAATCTGTATTTCCTCTAAAATATGGCCAGCTGTGTTGTCATCAGTTCGCCATGTTTGTTTCAGTTCATTTGGTCGCTTCCCTTTTTGCTTCCACCCAAACCACAATACTGCTCTGTGATTGGTCTGAACCACTGTAAACCTGAGCCTGATCTCAAAAGTAGGTGCAGGGCACAATGGATTCTTGTTAGTTTGTGAACTCACAAATATCACAAGAATTTATCTCAGCAAAGCAGTAATTTGGAGACAAGCAGGTGCCAAACCCTCCACGAGAAAAGTTACATAGTGCAGCTTTAACAATTATACAACTCAAAATAATAAAAGAGTGACTACAGTAAACTAGTGTCAGTTGTGAAAGGGAAGATGTAACAAGTGAGTTCATGTCTCTATACATACAAATATGTGTAGATACATAAAAAGCTCCTATGTATCATTAATTATAAGCTGTATTTTCTCAGTGGCATAAATATTCATGCAGGATATGGCATAGGTGATTACTCGTGCGAGAGGAGAGCAGTGGAGTGATGGCGTTCTGGTGCCAAACAGTGATGAGCAGTGTCCACGGCAACACAATCAAAACAATGGCCACGATGTCGCGTCTCTTCGGCATCTCCAGAGTCAGCCCTCTGTCAGAGCATCACCTACAGACCACATACAGGTACATTATGCTTTTTCAGGTACATATTGAACTATAACATAAGTACATCATCTTTGTAAAGCACAACACTGACCTATAACAACTTGATAATTAGTGCTGTCATGCGATTAAAAAAATTGATAGATTAATTAATTATGATCTGTAATTAATTAATCTAATTAATTTCATTTTAATCTCATCTAAAAATTGCTGAGAAAAGCTTCAATTTGAGGTATTTTCATTTAAATTCATTATTACATTATTGTGGCAGATCAAAAGACTGATATAGAACAAAAAAAAGTGACTTTATAAAGTCATTTATTGTTTAACAAATCTCTCCAATTTGTCTGTTGAGCCCAAGTCTCCGTGAATAAGAAACTGTTTGCTTGTAAAGTAGCAAAGACGAGGAAATCTGAACATAATAACTTTTGTCTACTTAAAGACAATAAAAAGTCCAGTCTTTCCTTAACCATATTAAAAATATTATTGATAGAGAAATGCTTTATATATGAGATCACTGGTTTTAGTCCTTGTTTTAGTCCTGGTTTAGACCTGCTTTAGTCCTACTTTAGTCTTAGTTTAGTCCTGGAATGGATTAATCCTGGTTTTAGTCCTGGTGTTAGTTCTGGTTTAGTCCTGGTTTAGACCTGGTTTTAGTTCTGGTTTTAGTTCTGGTTTAGTTCTGGTTTAGTCCTGGTTTAGTCCTGGTTTAGACCTGGTTTTAGTTCTGGTTTAGTCCTGGTTTAGTCCTGGTTTAGACCTGGTTTAGTCCTGGTTTAGACCTGGTTTTAGTTCTGGTTTTAGTTCTGGTTTAGACCTGGTTTAGTCCTGGTTTAGTCCTGGTTTTAGTTCTGGTTTTAGTTCTGGTTTTAGTTCTGGTTTAGTTCTGGTTTAGTCCTGGTTTAGTCCTGGTTTAGTCCTGGACTGGATTAGTCCTGGTTTTAGTCTTGGTGTTAGTTCTGGTTTAGAGGCTCACAGGAGGAAGCGCGGTTTATGCAGCGTAGCGAGAAAACACGATCCACACGCGGCTCACGGGAGCACGTCGGTGTCCGCGCAGAAAAACAGAAAATAAAACCGATTTTATAATAAAGCAACTCGCATACAGAAACAGTAAAGTTAGAGATTAAAAATGAGATTAACGCGATTAAAAAACATAACGCGCTAAATATGACTGTAATTAATTAATCGCAATTAACGCGATAATTTGACACCCCTATTGATAATATGATGGGTAACTTAGTTCGGCCTCTTCAGAATGGCATTTTATAGTAGTAAGCAGAAGATTTTTGTGGACATGTTTTGTTGCAAAATGGGTGTGACATTTTAAAAGCCCATTATGTGTCAGTATTTTGTTAAATATTTATAACATGATTAATGATTATGCCAATTGACCCAAGAAAATAAACTAGCTAACTAACTACTAAAAGCAGGGATGTGGGAGGGGATAAGGGGTAGGTGAAAATAGGAATTTTTAGAGCAATAATGCCTTGAATGCAGAAGAATAGTTTAGATTACTTAAAAATACATGCAACAATCAAAATACATTTATGAGTAAACTAATGGTGAGGGAGCACTGTTATAAGTGTGTTTATAACAAATCTCATCTCATCTCATTTTTAGCCTGGACTCTTTTGATCTGACTCTACAGAAGTATCAAATCGGACACTAAAACTAGTATTTAGCTCATTTGATTATTTAGCAATTTTTTCTGAAAACAGGACCAAATTAAAAGTTTAAGAATGAGCTTGAGCTTTATTAGAACTATGACCACACAGTCACAAAGAAAGTTTTATTATTTTGTGTTGAAAAAGTCAGACTAAAAAGAAAAAGAGCATTTTTAGATTATCATTGTTATATTGAAATCAGGCTTATTCCTTAGTATAATAGTATGTATGATAACACTACTCTGAAGTATGGTTTATTTAAAATAAGAGGGAAGGATGCTTTTGTTCAGAGTGTAACAAAGCCTCATATTTCTTGTGAATATTTTAAAGTCTGTACAAAGCCTGAGCCCAGCGTGGCTCTTTGTGTTTAAATGCAGTGCACACTGTGGTGGAGAGAGGACAGCTGTGTCCAATCCCATTACACAGGTCTATTTTGTTCAAACTATAAACCACTCAGCTCCTGTTTAATTAAAGTGCATATGGCAGCTTAGACTCATTTCACTAAAACATATTTAACATCATTATATTTCAGATTTTACAAAAATTCTTGCACATTTTTTATTTTGGTGAAGTTCATAATTTTATATGACATACATAAAGTAATTGCATAACTGTTACCTGTTACAAATCTCATGATTAAAGTAATAAAAAATTGCAAGACCTTTATGTTAAATGAGGATTTATACAGTCAGAAAAAAGCCTTATCTTAGTACACCCAACTTGACTGTATGTCATCTTCGACATGATATTTGAAAGTCTTTTGCTGCTTTTGGAGTTATATTTAGTGCAGTGTTGTGAATGATAAAACAGGTCGGGCTAATGGGCTCCTGCTGTAATACTATGAAAAGTGGATTTAAAGGAGACACATGGTGCAGATGACCAGAGCTGAAAGGGCTGTGATGTCAAAGAGGCATTTAGTGAAGAAAGACCCATACAAGAAATAGGTCATAGAGTGCTCCCAGCTTTGTCTGGTGAACTATAGAGATGTGTTAAAGGCTATTAGGGGCAAAGGAGATAAAGTTCAGCAATATACAAAGGTTCAACAAGTTAAAAGTAGTTGTACACATTAGGGCTGCGCAATATGGCAAAAACATGAACACAGCTATTTTTTCTGATATTGATCAGTCACAGTTTTCAATTAGATTATTTTTTTCTTTTCAAAAGACTTTAACACATAACACGAAAATAGAAAAAAAAATCCTCCACATTCTTACTTCTGGTCCAAAATTAAACCACTAAGCAGCCAGTTGTTCCAGATTTGAGATGACTAGAAATCGAATAGGCTTTACCAGACCTCTCACGATAAACTATAGGCCTATAATGCATTTTGGGGCTCAGTATTTATTGTGTGTATGTTTTCATTGTAAAATTGGGGAGATCTTGGGTATTTTTGTTGCAATTGAGCTGTATGGGTTTAATAACAAACTTCTGTGACTGATTATTGGTATTTATTTGTTGCAGCTCAGGACTTTTAATGAGTTCATCACAGTATATCTCTGTTGTAATATATTGTGCTACAGTATTTGTTAAAGTGACAGGTCTAGGCTCTACACATGTGTTGGTGTTTAGATTTTACCTTTGTTTCTGTCACATGATCTTAAATCCAGCTAGTCCCACTGAGAGGTCCATTGGTCAGAAAACTGTGTGGTGCCTGTAAGATACACAAAGAACATATAAAATCTGACTCCAGAAGTGACTCTTGGATGATTTGGTTACTAATCCAATCCAACAAATTTGTATTGCACATTAAATAAACAAGTTTCCAAAGTGCCGCAAATAGCAAAGTGAAACAAATCTAAAAATTAGCAGAATTATGTTTCGGACAAAAGGAACTAATACAAATAATAGATAAAAATAATAAAAGCAGTACTAAAAAGAATGAATTAGATAAAAAAAACAATGCATAAATAAAAAAAAAAAAAACATCTCTCTATATAAATAAATATAAGACACAAAGGACCACACAATGTAACTAGTCTGCATGATAGTAGCACAGAAGGAAAGGGCGTCTGTTTTTTAGCCATCCTCTCTGTGCTCAACACCTCTGAGTATTTAGACATAATTAGTGTTTGATTAAAAGCATCAGAAGCAGACTGAGATCAAAGGTGGAGGAGGCTAATCAACACGGGGAACGCGCTAACAGGGTCACGTCCTCAGACTCCACCGCTGAAAACAACAATGAGGTGAATTATGAAGTTGACAGTGGCTTTTTAAAGAGATACAACACTGTTTAAAGTTATTGTTAATGAGCTCATATTACACTATTTTCTGATCTGGTACAATGTTGATTCCTTGTCAAAAACAGACCTTGTGTTTTTCATTCACACATGTTTAACATATAAATCCTGCATATTTAGGCTGAGTTCTTCTATCAAACAGAAAACACCCTGCTCCACCTTGTGATGTCATTAATCATTACAGCCCTGAAATTGCCAATCTCTACTGAACTAAAGGTAAAAAGATGTTAATCTGAAAACTATCGCTTCATGACATCACAAGGTGGAACAGAGCATTTTGAGCTTTGGAGATGTAGACAGAATACTAATAAAGGATTACTGAAATGTGTTAATGAAACAATGAAACATGAGGTATGGATTAAAGCTCACAACAGTCAATTTTGTGAAAGATAGGACCTTTAAAGATTGGCTAGTTACTTAATTAAGTTTATGACAATACTATAAATTAGCCTATTTGCATTACCAATCTTGTTCAGTTTGTTTTTAGAATATGAGGGCAAAATGACACAATAAGGGCCCATCTTAATCTTCTCTTTAAATGAACACTATTCTTGAGAGTTCTTCTCTCAAACAGAAAACACTGTTCCACCTTGTGATGTCATGTGCTACGCTGTGTTTTTAAACTCCATACACCTTCACTAGAATCATTTGGATTATTTCAGACCTTGATGAGGAAGATCTGCTGAAAGAAATACAGATGTTGGAAGCTCAATTAAGAGAGAAACAGGAGGAAAATGAAAAGGAGAGAGCTCTCCATCTGGAACAATATGAACGCAAGTGTGTCTATGCAGAAAATCTCCAGAACCAAATACATCGTTTGAAAAGGGAGAAGTCCACTGCATATGAGAAACAAATGAAAGATGTCAGGGCAGAGGTAAAGGATGAGCTCAAGGGACAGACCACTGCCAACTCTTTACTTCGAGGGCAACTTAGTGAAGTCAAGTTGCAGGAGAAAGAGCTAAAGGACCAGATCACCACTCTCACCCAGCACCTGGAATAGGAGCAGGTGGAGAAGCATGACCTGATGCGTCTTGTGGCCGAAATTGAATGTACTTTGAGAACTAAAAAGTTC